ACACTGTTTCTGGATATCTGTGCTGACTGCACAGACCAGCTAACATCACTCTGCACAATCCTCCCAGATCTTCTTTGTTTAGTACCAGGACAGTTCTTCAGGAGCCCTGGCTCCTTAATAGGCTCCTTTGGGTAATACCTTCCATCTCATGCCAACACCCAGAGAACATATTTCTGAAGTCTGTAAAAGCAAGAATGTAGGAATCTGATACAGGAATGTCCAGCCATGAAAATGTCCAGCCATGAAAATAGCTTTCATGTTTATTCAAAAATTTCCATCCTTATTTCTCTGTATATTCCAGTGGACCCGATGCAAGAGGAGAAATCATGGTTGTCCCATCCTAGAAAGTGAGGAAGCAGATCAGATCACTGCAACAGGTTTCTCTGAGAAATGCCTCAGGAGATGGTCACAGGCAGTAAACACCACTCCTATCCTTGCATGAGCCTTTGGGAAACCTCCCAGAATGTCCTATTCACCATTGCACTGCACAAAGCAGTAAGCGACACCTGAGACCACTTGGGGGGACTCAAGGTCTGCCTGATTGGACTCTCAGAAAAATAGGAAGAGAACCAAAGTGTTTTGAATAGCCAGACCAATATTATAATTACCTACCAGTAGTCATTTCTCTTTTGACTTGTTTCTGAGGCATGACATTTCTCCTGTGAGCAAACTCCTGACCCTCCTGCTTTCAGCTGCCTAAAGAGAGAATTCTCCCACACACCAGCCACAGCTCTGGCCATGCTCTCACCTGATGCTATCATAGGAAATTTCCATGCTGACAACAGAGCCAGAAAAGGCTCTTTTTGCCTTCTTTTTTACCCTTTCCCATGATAGACTAATGTAGGATTTCTCTCCAAGACATAAGGATTTATAGCTGTTTACCTTACCCATTCATTGCTTTAAACTGCAGGACTCAGAATCCTGATTAATGCTGCTAACTACTGAGCAACTGCTGCTGCGCTCCATTATGAGCACTGGAAGTCACCAATGGGACCTCTTGGAGCAAAATTCCCATTTAAAAAGTCTGTAGTTGCCTGTGCAGCAAGTAATCTGAGAACATTTACATAACTCAAGAACATTTCCATAACTAAACCTTAGAAGTGAATTTGTAAATGAAATGTACACTTTCTTTTTAAAATTGAGAATTTGAGTAAGAAGATTTTGTTTTAATTTTCTAAGCAATCAAAAGTTTTCACTTCCACATCTCATGAATGGTTACACCTTTTTAAGAAAAAAATTAGCCTTACTTCTTTTTCTGATCAGCTTTGTATTTCTACATAAAACTGCACTTTCAAAACACTGTTTCTGTTAGTTGGAAAATTGAGATAGTAGGAAATGAAAACAGTAAATGAAGATGATAACTATTTTTCATAAGTCTTTCTGCAGTCACGTTTGTGGTGCTCTGAATTAAGAGACCATTGTTCTGTAGTTGCACCATCTGACTAGGAGTGGATGCACAACACTAGATAGTGTGGATGACACTAAACAGTTCCCTCTCAACCTTTCTGTACCTGGTAAACCCAGATATGCACCTACATATCAAGAATATCATAAACATATGGAATAACATTATATATGTTATTATATATATGTGTGTCATATATAATAACATATTAGTTGCAAAGACACTGCTGACTGCACCCACAATATAGGAGAGGTATTAGAAAAATTACTTGCATTGGTAGAAATATGCATATGTGCACATTAATTCAGTTTTAGGACAGGTCTGTTAACAGACTGATTTTCTTTCCTTAACTGAAACCGCTGAATGGAACTGGTTATATGGCCTTTGGAGTCACCAGCCTGCTGGTTTTAATGGAAAAGATTCTGGAATCAGTGTCCAGGGCAAGGCTGACTTGTGAAGGGGCTGAATTGTGGCAGACCGGTTCGGGACCGGTAGGGTAAGGCTCCCCTGGATACCCTGGAGAGAGGTGCCTGGAATGTCACATTTGAGAAAGGAAACGTGTGAGAGTTGCTCTGCGTATGGTAGTAACACTAAGATGTGCCAAGCGCAGATCATCAGTATATTTTCCTTCGGAGAACACCATGAGACATTAAACTGAAGCTGCTAATTGCAGTTGTTACTAATTACTGTGGGGATTACAGGAAGGAACAAGATTGCAGTCTGAAAGCGCGTGTTCAGTGTCCTTTGGTATTATGCATGCTTTCAAGCTGAAAAAGAAGAGACTGATGCTTCAAGCAAACATGGTGTGAATAACTTCACAGTGAAAGGGTTTGGTTGTGTGCGTCATCCCCTACATTTGGGGATTTATTTGGCATGATGATAAATGCAGAGAAAAAAAACTTGTCAGTGTATGAGAGACACCAAAAAGCCTCCTCTAGAGATTCATTTACAGTCCTTTATCATATTACTGCAGAATTAGAAAGCTTTGGATTTTGCCCCAAATAATCAAGATATAACTGATTTTGGGGACTGTGTTTGATCCTTTGGCTTCTGTGCAGAGAAACATGAATATGAGTACATTTGCCAAAGCACTTAGTTAAAAAGAAAACCAGAAAGACCATTAAAAGCCTTTTTTACACAGATAAAAGGCCGTGTTGTTTCAGTAGTCCCACTGCACTCCTTGAGCAGCACAGGCTACTTACAGAAGGATAAAAAATAAACTACAAAAATTAAGAAAGTGATATTTCCTTTCATTTGCTTTTATTTGTATCTTTTCAGCCTCACTTCAGGTTTCCTGATGGTGTTCTAGGCGCAGCCCACTCACATCCAGCACTGCCACCGCAGTCCTTTCCAGCCTCTCAAGTAGATATTCCAGCTCCTCAGTGCCAGGTAAGCTTTCTGTGCGTGCACCCCATCCCTTCTTCCATGTTATTGGACTCCTCTTCCTCCTCCTCCTCGTATTATTGTTGTTATTATTATCGTAATAAATTATTACTAGTACTACTACTACTACTGTTACTATTTCCTTGTTTCCTCCCTCGTGTGGGGGAAGCGGCGGGGCTGGATCTGAAGGCGGCGGCAGACTCCCGGCCGGCCCCGGCTCTCCCCCTGCGCTCCTGCTCTGGCTTTCCTCTCCCTGAAGCTCTGTGTACACAAAGGGCTGGCTTCTGACTTTCAATTAGGTAACGGAGATTTATTTACTTTTGCTCTTTCTCCCGTCCCTACACTAAATTTAGCGTCTGTCGCTCCTGCCAGCTTGGGCTTTTTCCCCCCTCCTCCCAAATAAGTTATTTATTTGTGTTTCTCCGGAGGCAGTTTTAAACCAAACGGCCGGACGAGGGAGGACTCCGGACAGTCTGACCCCTAGGATCGGCGTGCGAGTGGCGGAGCGGGGTTTAACGGGCCGTCGGGGCAGGAGAGGGCTCCGGCCGAGGGGCTGATCCCCGCGCCAGTGCCCAGGGAGCCCCCGATGAGTGGGCGGCTTTTTCCCAGCATGTCGGAGGGTCTGAGCTTAAGAACATCCCCTCAGAAATAAAACCAAACCCACCAAAACCTCCAGGGTGCTATTGTTGGAGACGGAGGACTTCCTCGTGTAGGACGGGGTGGGATGGCCCAAAGCGGCGGGGACGATGCTCCTCACCGGCCGGTCCTCTAGGGCTTTCCCGGAGCGCCTTATATGGAGGGAGGGGTGGTGGTGTCTCCCCCCATGGGCACGGCTGTGAGGCGCCGTGCCCGGGCCGTGGGGCAGCTGCGGCGTGTTACCGCGCTGGTGTGTCATTCTAGGTGGCAGACGGAGCGGCTACCGGAGGGGACAGCGGACCTCTGAGGGAGCCCGTCCCGACAGAAGGAAGAGTTTTGGCATCCCTCCGGCCCCGAAAGGTAAACCTGATTTGGCCGCTGTAGGCTGGGGGGTTTTGTCGGTGGTGGTTTGAGGTTTGTTGGCTTGTTTCGGTTATTTCTTTCCCTCTTTCTCCTTTCTGCTCCTCTCGGCATTTCCTCACGGTGGCTGCCCTGTCCCCGACAGCTGCCTGCCCTACGCCGGGTGGTGGACACAGCCGGCTCCGCGCCCGCAGCCTTAAAGAGTCTTGTCCAGCAGCCCCCTCGCCCCGCTTTACCCTCTCTCTTAGCGCCAGCCCCGCGGCCGCTGCGCCGCGGCGAAGATGCTGGCGTGAGAGAAGGAGCGCTGTAGAGCCAAGCGGACCCTTTGCTGGCCGATGCCAGGGGGAAGGCATTGCGCCTTCGGGGCTCCTTGCGCTTCTTCCGCGAAGAAATGGAAGGGCTGGGGAGGTGGGAGTAAAGCCGATGGTTTGCCTATTTTGCATTAAAGCGGAGAAAAAATGAAAATTGCAAGGAGCGGCACCTGCTTCGCGCCCTGCCTCTCCCCTCCCCGCATACGGGAGCTTTTAGTGTCCATAAACTGTAAACCAGGTAATAAGATCAGGAAAGGGGGCATTAGAGAAAACCGCGCTCAGGCACCGCCCGCGGAAAAGCAGGCTCTACAAAGACACTCCCGGAGCACTTTTCGCGGCTGTAAAGATTTTATTGCTGATGGAGGAGCGGCTCGCACCCGCGGGTTTGGAATTAATGACCCCTTCGGCGGGTAGAAATCACACTGCCTGGCTTGTGGAGGGGACCCACGGGCAAGGGGCACTGCGCGGTTATGACAAGTATTTATTAAAGGAATTACTGCCACATGAATGCCGGGATTTAGGCTTCGGTTTGCCGAATGAAGTTTTTAGTAACTATGAAAGTAGGGCAATAACTTTTATAGAGGAAAGAAAAATATTTAGAGTCAGTAACTTCTCTGGTAGCTGAAAATGAACTTCTGACAACAAACGGGATTTGCCCTCCTCGCTGAATCAAAGGAACTTTTATACTTAATTTTCACCCTGAAAGATCTACTATTTTAAGTAACAGCGATTTTTCAGCTTTGGAAGAAGCTTTTGAAGCCGACCAAGCCGAGGTGTGCCCACGGGCAGCCGGCACTCCCAGAGACACTGGGAGCCGAGCACACACACCATTGCTGTCGGGATTTTCGCATGTGCAGTGAGACAAGGAGCACAGAAACGTTTTCTCTCTTCCCCCCCCTCCCCCCGCAGATCCTGACGTTCTTCCTACGAGATTCTCTTTTTGATCTGCTTGTTGTCAAACGGAGTGATTAGCTTACGAAATTATCCGCTCTGGCGTTGTGCCTTCAGGTAGCAAAGGCATTACGGCTGTACACTTCGCATTTTCTGAATGTCTCCGGCTCATCTTCCTCCTCCACTACCACCACTGGAGCTTTCGGGGGGGTAACACTTGAGTTTAGGTCGGTGTCACTCAGTTGTGAAGAGGGGAGGGTTGTGCCGCCGACTGTGCCCATTCAGAACTCAGAGACGGGTCTCGGTGGCTCTGTGTCTGCGGGCAGCGGGAGAGCGGAGCCGGAGCGAAGCTGGAGCGGGAGGCGGTGCCGGCGCGGTCGGTCCCACCGCCCCCAGCCCGCCCCGACAGCGGGGCGGGGACCCGGGAATGGGGGGGGCACCACCGGCTTGTGGTGGGGGGAATAATGGGCGCAGCTCCTGTAGTTCTGGGGAGCCTCCATCCCTGTAAAACCACCGCGTGAATTTCCCCGGGTGGGCCCCTGTAGGTTCTACTCTCTTTAATGCTAACGTGACTTTAAGAAGGAAAGAAAAAGAAAGCGAAGGCGCTTGTGGCATGGCTAATTAACCTTTAGAAATATTACCTTTCCGTGGACGTGGTTCTAAGCTCTTTCGTTGGATCCGTGCAAACGAAAACAGCACAAACTGAAATACGGGTTCATAAAGATACTTACATGAACGCTTGGCTGTAGCGTGAGTGGGAGCGTATAGGTACAAGGAGGATTGCCGCTCGTTCAGAGCACTTTCCTTTGGAAATGAAAAGAGACTGAAGAAAGGTTATCCCCATCATTAGATTAAAATCCGTCTGTTATTTTAAAATGTTTAAATCCCTTCGTCAGGATTATGGCTTTGTTCCAATGCTGAGATACGGGGATTTTACTTGTCATAGGAAAAAAACCCAAAGCTATACACAGCCCTCCCCCCTGGCAACCAAACGGCCCCCAGAGCTTTTTCTCCACCTTTCCACTCCAGAGCATCTGAGAATTTTGGGATTTTGTTTTGCTTTCATTATTCAATGCTGAGGCTTAACAAACGATTACAGGTTGGAAAAGACTAGGGTCACGTTACATACCACAAAGGTCTGGCCAGCATTAATATAGTGTTTGGAAAACAGTTGACAAGTAGCGAGGGTCCACCCCCCCTTTCCTTTAAAAATAACCCCCTTCTAAAAGGAATCACAAACCCTATCTCGGTTACTCCAAGTAAAAGCCCGTCTCCCTTTCCGCTTGCAACCGTCATGAAAAGGTAAATGGAAAGATCATTTAATTGTTTTCTTTCTAATCGCTTTAATCCCCTTTATACTAGGAGCAAATGATGATAATGGGATCCACATGGAAAAGACCCCCGGGAGCGGGGAGGGTTAAGGCAGGGGGATCCTCCCGGCCCTGAGCCCTGGCAGGTGGAGCAAAGCCCAGCCTGATGCATTGAATTGGAGTAAGGCTCTTAATCTGTGGCCGGATTTATTTCGTTTTTTATTTATTTATTTTATTATTTATTTTATTTTATATTTTACTATATCCCAGCGGCGTGTCTGCAAAGTGACCCGGTTGTCACCCTGTGATGACAGGGGACGCCCCTGAAACAGAGAGGAAACCCCAGGACCCCCGTGTCCCCGGAGCCGGGGCACAGACACGCCGATTAGTTTTCCCGGCTCGGCCCTGCAATCCCCGAGAGCCGCTTAGCTGTGCCGCGGCCGTGCAGATATCCTCGGCTGCGTGGGCTGCCCTGAAGATCAGGGAGGGGTGGGGGTGAAGGAAGAAGGGCAGCTCACTGGCGGTGTTAGTTATAAGCACCGCCGGAATAATGCTCCTATCTGAGGCTGCAGGAACAGAGCCAACAGAGAGCTCATTGAGCCCCTGGTTTTCTTCGGGCGTTTGCAGATATGTGCAAATACGGGACTTGCAGGTTGTTATAAACATCTTTCGGGATGCAGTCAATCAATTATACTGGCAAGCAAGCAAACCAGGAGCCTAGGATATATACAAGGCATAAATATATACATATAAACCCTGTCAACTCTGTAGTATTGACACCTCTCCCTCCCCAACCTTTCTAGGAGAAGCTGTATCTAGAAAGCTCCCGACGAAGTCATGAAATCACAGTGAAGAAGTGGGCAGTCTTGTTAGGAAGTTAGGTTATGTTGTATGTTTTAATACCAGCAAGGGAGATGTTAGAAGAGAGAAAGGAAAAAAAGAAGTGTTCAAGCAAGTTGAAGACTAAAAAAAATAAAACCCCCTATTATACTAACAGTCAGGGACACCATTTCAAGAATATGTGGCTGAAAAACATGAAACCTGGTAATTTTAAAGTACAATGCAGTAGATATATCTGGAAAAGACGTAAGTTTACCAGATTTTCTACTCGGCAAAGTATTCTTTATGTTACAGCCATATCTAGTCTTTCTTTAATTTGAAACATGCATCCAGGGATAGATCACGGCAAATGCACTTTATTTATTTATGTATGTATGTATGTATGTATTTATTTATTTATTTAGTGCTCTTTTGATAATAAGAGCTCTACCCAGTGTGGAATTTGTGACTTCTCTTTCTGACACTGAGTCTTTTGCTTGCAGGAGGAGATGTGTGAACAAGGAATCCATACTGCAAGAAGCACAGCAGATCTGAAACATCCAAGTAATGCAGAGAAAATAATTACATTGCAAGGTAGGAGATAAGCAAGCTTCAGGACTTAAAAGAGAAGGGCATATTCTGAGCTGGTGTAAATTACAAGTTTCACTGAAACAGGGAAGAGGCTGGTGCTGCAGAAATGGTGGGTTGTTTTTACGTTGCTGTAATCTGAAACTGTGGCCCCTTCTTCTAGATAGTGAGTATGAAGTAAAGGCCTGGACTGCTTTGGCCTGGTGGGGGAATGATGCCAGGGAGCAGCAGCTGTGCTTTGGGAGGGAGTACCAACGTGAGTTTTTCCCATCTGGTGAAACCTGGCAAACAAGCTTGTAAAACTGGGGACTGGAGTGATGGTTTTGCTTAGGAAAGACCTTGTTGCTGTATTGCCTCTATGGAGCCAGTCATGCATGTTTTTCTTTTGCTGCAATTAACTGCATTTATTCTGGAAGTTTTCCTATCAAGAATAAACTCAGTATTAAACTCACTTTCCCTTCATGGTTGTCATCTGTTAAAACAAGTCATATAAGGAGCCTGAGACAAATACTACTCATGTCAGGAGAGCAGCTTTTAGTGCTGCCCTTGCAAGATGGCTGGGTCTTACAGACATAAATAGTATGGGAAACTGGTTTCATTGGCTTCTCTGCAATTTAAAGGCACATATTTAAAGATGTGTAATCTCAGCAGAATAGGGATTCAGTTATTCATCTGTTTACATCTAAGACCTTCCCTGGGAGGACTTGTGTTTAAAATGGATTGGATCACTGGCTCACTTTTCATTATTATACAACAATTTATATTTAACACCATTTAAGTGAGAGCTTCACTGGTTAAAGCTTTATTCTTGTGAACCTGATGTACTATTTTCCATAGCAATGTATTATGGAAACCCTTCACAGAAACTTGTCTTGATCTGTGGTAGATAAGACTGATACAATGAGGGATAAAAGTAATAATTGACAGTTTCCAGTTAAAATTGTACATGAAATAAGTAACAGTAAAATAATAATGAAGATTCTGTAAATATTTAATACCTTTGATGTGATATTTTTGTCAGCATGGTAACACTAACTCCACATTTTAACTTTCTGAGGTAGTAATTGTAATGGGACTCTTCCACTCAGGTATCAGTGGATCTTTTTTTTTTACCCCAAAGATTCACAGTCTTCCTTCCCTGCCCCAACACTTCTCCTCCCACCTCCCCCCCCCCCCCCCCCCCCTCCGATAAATGATTGTTAAGAATTACATAAACAAGCCTTTTTGGAAATGAAGATAGTGAAAAAGGAGGAAAGGGGGTGAGAAGTACACAATACATATACCTGACCAATAGGATAAAAACTCCACCCAATCTGGCTTTCTTCAGCCTTTGAGCATGCCTTCTAAACTGTGTGATATGGCAGGTGACACATCTCTTCCTGGAAGATCTTGCTTCTACAAACACTGCTACTGACTCACCAACGGCTGTTTGTGAGAAGTGCCAGCCAGAGCAGACAGGTTACTGTTCATCAGCCTATGAACACACAGATTCTCCTTTGCTAGATTATGTGGTACACCCATAACCTGAGACCTGGCTACAAAGTGGGCAAAATCAAAAAGGTACTTTATTCTCTGCTTGAGAAAATTAGATCATGATTTACTGAACCTGACACACCTATTCTTTTAGACCAATATTCTTCTATGCCTGTACAGGTGTGACTCTGTACTGTAAATAAAAATTTATTTTACAGATCTCCTATGCATCATGGACAAATTTATTTATTTATTTACTATTTCTTTTTTCTCTGAGGTAAGCATAAAGCCTCCAGAAATTCAACCTGCTTTTGTTTCTTTTCTTACTGAGAACAGGTTAGAAGAAAAGATTTGAGAATACTGCCATGTAGGAATTGATATCACAGTGCTACCAGCTTAAAGAGGGGGCTGTCACAGGGTGAGGCATTAAACATATTCCTAATCTTTTGCTTTTTCCAAACCATAACGGCACCCTGACCCTACTTCTTTGAATTGCAGATTTGCTTTTGACAATGGTGGGGCCAGAATTTTACTAGGCTGTATCTTATTAGGTGTGTTGTAAGGATAATGCAGACAAGTCTCTCCAAGTGTACTCTCATTCTCTATGTAAAATTCTGCTTAGTTCAAGTATGTAGTTAACAGCTTCTAAAATAGACTAAAGATCATTAATCAACTTTTGTGAAATTAATTTAAGGATAAGTTTGGAAAAATCATGAGATAGATTGAAGTTATTGACATAATGCTGTATAATTTGCAACGTGGGCTTCCTTTTCTATTTCTTTTGCATAATAGAACAGCTGACTGTACTTAAAAGATATCGGCACTCACTGACAGTATGTCCTAACTACTAATATATTTTGTTTCTGTTATTTAACCAGTGTTAAGAAATTATAGAGAACACTTTATATTTTAACAGTAACAAGATTACACACAGTCCATTTTCTAACTGGGGGGAAGAGAAGAGTAGGCATCAAAGGAAGACTGCTAAGCCTCATTGCAGACAGCTGTGTTGCGGAGCAGACTTGCTGGGCAGGGCAGGAAGGCTGTTATGTTACTCTTTAGGAAAGAGGGAGGATAAGGTACAGATATGACTGGGGCCAGGTATCCGCTTACAGATAGTGCTGATCTCACCTCTTCAAAACTTCTGTCTCGATCTGCATAGAAACTAAAAAAACTTTAGTTTTAATGAAAACTTTAATGAAAAGTCTTATCAAAGAAAATGTCTTCCTTTGGCTTTCTCCCCCTTTTACTAATTTGCATCTTTATACCCAGGCCATAAATTTTATTATTTTAATATTACCAAATTATTCAAAAGAATTCTCAAGACATTTCAGGGACTTTATGATTTTAAATAAATTCCACTTTATACAAGAATTCAGCACAACATACCATTTAAATCTTTAAATTAGGCCTTTATGCTGTGATTTTCAGTCTGTTATGCAGCACAACGTACATTGTGAACAATTAATATCAAGAAAAGGAAATAATATATGAATAGATTTACTTTTAATAAAGCTGAAAAAAGTTTTAACAAAAGCTGGTTACTAATTGTGTTACTTCTGTATTTTACTACATATCCAAACTTCATATATAGGGGAAAAAAGTTAAATTATTTTTAAAACACATTTTTACTGTACTAGCTGAATGTTGTGTATCTACTGTAAATTTTGCTGTCATGCCAGGGGGGGGAATCCTCAAACCCAACAGACCAACAGAACTATCATTTTCTAGTACAAATCAGAAAAGATACTGTCAGACTTCGGACAGAAAGGAACAGTAACAAATACATTTATTGATATAAATTCCTAAGTGGAAATCAGAAAAAATGCAGGATCTTGATTGTCACCAAGCAGCACACTGAGAGATGCACTTCTCTAGCACTCCTAAAGCAGTTCTGTGATTTCCTTGTTTGTTTTGTTATGCAGGTGATTAATGCTGCAGAATGCAAGCAAGCCTAAGGTCTCCAGTTACAAAAATATATTTCAATTCAATTGTGTTACATGTAATTATGGCAATTAGACTGAATTATGGAGTGAAGATGGGGAAACAGCAGTTGTGAAAATACTTTTCACATGTAAGAAATAGCTAAGATAAAAGAAATCGTGCAAAATCATGATACCTGTGGCATCATGCCACGTGAGCACTTGTTTGTGTGGTGCAGCAAACCAATACAGAGTCCTTTTCACCATGTATATCCCTGTGAAGCCTCACAGGATTCTCAGCCTGCTGACTTACTGGATAAAACTATGTGTAAAGGGGTCTACAGGAGTGAAGGAAAGGTCAGTTTGCTGATACAGGGTTATGTGACTGCAGAAAGACCTGCACAGCCCAGGAAGACATATGTTTCCCTGGAAGGGGAAGGCTGCTTTTGAAATGAAGGTCTTCATGTTTTGTATATTTCATGCATCAGAAGAACACAACGCTCAAGCTGTAGCCCAACAGAATAAAATCCCCCAAGGAAAGTGAAACAGACAAATCTTAAATAATTTTCAGTATCTACCTTATATTTCAAAAGAATTGCTCATTTTCTTATGTTACTGTTACATATGAAAGGTACTGTGAACTTGTTGGGGGTTGGCTATTAGCATATGTGTGCACAGAGATGTGTTCACCTCAAGTCCAACAGAGCATTCCTTGCCACTTGGCAGCCTACCCACGGGTGTAGGGCTTGAACAATGAGATTCTCTTAATGGAATGCAGCCAAAAATGAGACAGGTGGTCTTTCTCCAGAAAAAGCTTACCTGGCCAAGCTTTGCTATTCTTTTTCCTCTTAAAGAATTTTTCATCTGCATGTATGATAGGATTTTCCACAAGACTAATAATAAAGGTTATGCCCGCTCTGAAAAGTTCATTTTATACTAGCATTCACTGTCAAAACCAGACTATTGAAATAATGAATGAGGTCCACTTCCTCAGAATGTGTAAATGTCTGAACTTAGAGTTAAACTTTCAACAGCTGAAAGACAATAGCATTGACATGTACCTAGCACTAGTTACTCAGGTTTATTTTTTCCTGGAAAGCTGTTTTGGGCGACAGAGTGGCGTCCGGGTTTCCCAGGTTGTTGTGCTGACAAACTGCAGTGGTGGTAAAGGCGGGGAGTCTGACAAAATCTCATTAATCATTTTAAATTAAATCCAACATTCCTCTCCAATGCTGCCAAGAAGAAAGCTAACTTTTACAAATGAGTATTCTCTCTGAAAAGAACTGGTACCCTGACCATGTTGCTTTCACATAAATAGGCTTGATTTCTCTCATATACACATATTCAATAAGTAGTATTTTTAAGCTTAAAAAATAATGCATTGGATTGCTAGGAATTTGAAAAGTGCTTTTTGCTTGTTTTCTGTATGAGGTGCTACAAGTGAACCACATATGAAAATTAGAGCCTCTTCTGTCTTTCAAAGAATTGCATTTTTTTGCATTTTAAAATGATAAAGGAAATAAAGTTCTTTTTTAGCTCAAGAAAAATTCACATAGGAAATGGAAGTATTCTGTATAAATATCTTCTAATCCATCTCTTTTCTAAGCTTGTTTATATGAATAAGAAAGGAAAACTGCAAATTTACTAACATCATTGTCAGCAAAAGCACTGAACTGATGAAAGAGCAATGTGATCTCTCCTAAGCTTTTTACATACATATTCATTTCTGTAACTAATCCTAGCTATCTGGTTATGATTTAATTACACACATCGTATGGTAAGTCTTAACTTTTAACATCTGATAAATAATATTAGAAGCTCACATAAAATTTTATCTTACTAAAATCACTATTATAGGTAGATTATAAAAGTTTGCGTATTATTTCTCTTTAAGGCAAAATGAAACCATAATGTGCCTATGGGAGACACAGGAAATCCTTTAAGTCTGTTCTTTGTCCATTTTAATAGTGCTTTTGAGATTAGAGTGGTAGATTTTACAATGGCAGAGAACAAGTCATCAGCCTTAATGTTTATTAGTTTTGATACTTACATGAAATATGTGAAAAGAGAAAAAAAATCCCAATCCAACAGAATACAACTAAATCTAGCTTTTCTAAATACTTAATGCTGTTATTTTGACATTTTAACATGCTCAAGTAAGTATATCTCAATTTTGCTTAAGTACTTAATTTAATAGTTGTTTTCTAAAATCCAAACTATAAAAATATCAGATTGCACAATGACAGCCTTACAGAGAGATCAAAACTATTACCACTTCAAAAAAGAGCAATTCCTGTTGATAAATTTGTTTATGTAAAGAACATCAATAAACTGATGTATACTGATGAGGAAATAGTAACATTTATTTGCCCAGCTAGACAGTTTATTTTCCTGAATCTGTATTTTGAAACTGTTTGCAATTTTTCTTTTTCCAGTGTGGGGGGTGTGAGGGAAAGGTTTAAGAGAACAAACTGATTTATGTTTTTTCCCAGAATGCAAATTTCTTTCCCATTTCAAAATTGACAAACACATCTCTGACGTACAGTTTGCGCTTTTGTATGTTGAAGCAGCTTTGATTTATTTAAAAAAGCCAAAGCTGAATAAATGTGCTGTTTAGAGTATGGAAAGTATTTAAGACAGAAAAAGGTTTGAGAAAACGAAGAGTACGAGACCGAGACACTGTCTATAACTAAATCATGTGACTATGTAATATATGCTGTATTCCTTGAATAAATTCAATGAGAACCTCAGAATTTAATGCAGGCAAAAATGATCTGTAATATGTGACACTGTACATGGACACAGGTACACTCACTTCCCCTACATGAACAAAGAACTGTTTGTTGTCCTTCTGTCACATCTGGATACACTAAAGTTAGCAATATTTCAGAAACAGTCGTTCAGTGTACAAATTTGGTGTCTTTTAGGACCAGAATTAACTAGTATTTGCAGGGGGATGGGCTGCAGGCTCATTTGTTCCTTCAGTGCTGTGTACAACCAGCATGAAGGCAGCACCCCATGGCCACAGCTCAAAGGACAAGCAGTGGTTGAACCACAGTAACTCAGGAATCACTTCACAGCTATGAGTATGATCCTGCCCATGTAATTACGCTTGGGATCCTTTATCCTAGGTCTTCGGAAGTGTTTTATTAAGTAGGTATTTCCACATCCCATAATCTAGTGACACCTGGATCAATGAAGTATCTGTTTTCTTTGAAATGTATGTGGAGGTACTAATAGTTCATTGAAGAAGACACAGCCCAAAACATGGGTTGCTAGAGGGGTTTTAGAGGATGACTAAGAGAATTCAAACCTTATCTTTCTCACTTTATGGGAGTATTGTTACACTTGCTTTTTTTTTTTTTTTTTTTTAAGACAAAAAATGGCCTAACATCATGCAAAGTCTACATTCTTAACATGAAAAAAACAACTTCTCTGCCACAAGAAAGCCTCAAATTTGAAAAGATGACAGAAGACATGTCTCTTGTCATTTTTTGTTTCTTGGTTACCCCTAAGGGAATTTACACTTGGCATGTTGTGTTTACTGTTTTCTGTTCCACTCTGAGTTAGTAACATACACCATGAGTTGGGTGTTAACCATCTAACAGTTCAAAATCCTATTGTGAAGATCAGATGCTGTTATCTGTATGTGATTAGGGATTTGTTTTGTTTTTTTTCTCCTCCCCTGGACTTGTGTCTTATGGAAACTTTAACCGTATCATCCTGCTTCTAATTTATTTTCTTGGCTGTTACACTGGCCCTGAAGCTTTCTAAACCTTGTTAATAGATGTACTCAGATATTCCAGAAAAAAACCCCATGTTCTGTCTCTCTGGAGGCTTTGTTCTCTATCTGTTTGAGAATGGGAACTGAGGGTAAGTGGAAATTAAGAGAAATGCAAATTAGCAATTGATACTCTTGTATCAATGGAAAATCAAAAACAGTATCGCTAATTTTAACATAAACATTAGTCAGAAGAGACTCTCACTCTGCATTTGTGGTTTGAGAAGAAAACTTTTCCTGATAAGATTAGTTGTAATTTCAAAATTCACTGAATTCTTCTTGTTAAGTGTGTAACTTTTGAGGAGGGTTTTCTAGAAAGCCATATGCTCCAGTTTCTGTAAGATCACATTAAGGAGCACAGAGATATTTATCCTTTATCACTGTTATTACAGATCAAGTTAAAAGTTTTCTAGCTTGTTTTGTTTTGTTTTTGTGTTTTAACAGGACCAGATACCTGTGCCTTAAACAAAGCTCCCCACCATATCGTATAATCCTTATTTGTGCTTAACACTAATCGACCACTGTGGAATGCATTCTTGGGCTTCCTGAAATGTATGAAATGATACACGATGAAGTTATCCCAAGAGAGGGGAGGAACATTGTAAAACCTGTCTGGAAAATAGCTGTGCTGCTGCTGGCTCCTGTCTTTAGCTGTGTATACTACAAATACAAATGGCATTTTCTCTTGATTAAAGGTAAAGTAATAAAAACCCCACAACTTTTTCTGGGTGCATTTTTGCATGTGGACCAGAGCTATAACCAAAACCTATTAAACACTTGAAATCGCAGCAGTAGCTACATTGTTTCCTCCCTGTCATTTATGTAGCCCTTATGTGTGCTGACATTGTCATCGTTCTTCTGGCTTCCAAGACAAATGTAACACTCCCTAGGTGCCAAATGGAAAGCAGCAGTGTGGGCAAAGTGCGTGCCTATGAGGAGTACGACTTGCATCCAATCCTTTGCTCTGCCATAGGCTTTCTACACACACACACACACACACACACATCAGATTAATTTGTAAAACAGAACTAAGAGTATCTTCCTACCTCACCTCATGGTGTGACAGGGAAAAAGGATAAATATACTTGTTACCATGATGAATCCAGATGCTAGCGATTGCTGAATATTATGTAAACAAACATAATCAGGAACAGCTGATTTCAACTATGTAGTATGACAATTTAAGAAAAGCACTGCTCTATGAGATATCTGAACAAAACCCAGGAAAATCCTTATTCAGTTCCTCCACATGCACAGCAGTTGCACTATTAATATTCTACGCACTTCAGAAAATGTGAAACACAACCTGACCAGGACCATATTTGAAATATTTTCATAAATCCAGAACTATTTAAAACCTAGCTACATGTCAGACTTAGGAAGTATAACTCAGTATCTGAGTCCAAGTCACCTCTCCAGTCCTACACAGTCACTGCTCTGATCTTGCACAGCCAGTTTTTAACAGCTTTAGCAACGAGTCATCTGGTATATATTTGCCTAGGCATTTCCATCATTGACACTTCTAGACTGAGGGAAGCAGTTGAAAGTAGCAACATGTTAGCTGCCCCTACCACTTTCCCTGTTGAGATTTTTTCTTTCTTACTATGCTGAATAGATAATTGTAGTTGTCCTATGTCCCCAGTAACTAGCATCTGCAATATAGGTTAAGTAAACTCTCCAGGTAAACTGCATGATTTCCCTAGGCTGTCCCTGTATGACATCAGGATTCACCTAAAATAGCAGTTACAATCTTCTTTAAAACTGAGTGAATAGCAGGTTGGCAATATGCTAATTTAAGTCAGTCAGTGCAGTATTAGATATAATCGTAGATATTTTACAAGTGTTCTGCTATCTCCTAGAGTAAACTTCATTGAAGTATTCAGATCAATATTTGTCTAAATTATGTATCTGAGGTAGTCAGCACTGTAAAAAAATTCAAAAGAAAGAAGTACAACATTTAAGAGATAAAAGAAATTTTAGTTAAAATATTTTACAATAAAATAATTATGATTATAAATCTCTTTAGTTAAATATATACACATTACATGGTATTCTAAAAAGAATGAACTTATTAAAGTTTCAAGCAGATCTAATGCACAAATCCACCACTTTGTCAGTTTAGACCGTAATGTCAGTTTAACATTTGTACATGGCTGCTTCAGGCTGTGGTTTTGTGCAAAACTAAAAAAATTATGAAAAACAGATCTCCAAATCTTTCTATTCCCATGGTAAAGATAGAAAAGGTAGTTTACACACACACACACACACACACACACACTTACACACACAAACTTTGATTGCATACAGAGGTTAGAATGACCAGCACTAAAATAACCCCCATCTCTACAAAATAATTTCTTGAATTGATGTAGCTTTTGAAAATTACAAATTTTAAGTGCTAGGAAATTGTGCTTTTAGGCAGCCACATGGCCAATAAGGTAGATGTTGTCATAAAGGTGCCCTACAAAATCTTCACTGATATTCTGTGCAGCTCGCCGTGTATTTCGGATGAATTCCCTCTTTGACATTTTGTTCTTCACGTGAGGGCTTGTTAGGTCAATGGAAAGTAGAATCAAAGAGTAACACAGTACGTAAACTGCATCTAGACAAGAGAGAATAAATTAAAAGGAAACTGTGATCACTAAAAATAGTGTTCCCTGTCCACATACCTTATAGTCTTCATCATATATATATAATATATATATTATATATAAAATTATATATATACACACACGTATACACACATATATATAACACCTAAAAAATTTATCCCAGTGAAATAAAATTTAATATAGCAATTTTCAAAGTAATAATGTCAGCACATTGCCAAATGGGCATTTACAAATCTCTTAACATTTCTGTGTTACCCAAAAGTTACTAAGGGCTTTGTGCACGTTCATTTAAAAAGGTTCTTGAAGTTTTTGCAAACTGGGGTCAACATCCTGCTAAAGCTTATCTTTAAATATGTAAGCAGTCCCACTGCTGAAAACTGTCTACCCCCCAGCAATTATAAATACTTGCTAACTTCAGTGAGGCCCAAAATTCCTTCTCATTTCTGTGAGACTATCCACAAGGCAAAATGTTAAGTGTGTAAGACTTTGCAAGAGGGAACTTCAAGGTAGGACAGAGCTTGAGCACAGAAAAAACTGAAGGAAAGGTAACGAGAAAATAAAACCCACTTATCAGCTAGTTCTAAGAAGAGCATCTATCTGTATGGGTGTTTTTTGGTCTTTTTTTATCTCGAGTGGGATGATGACTGTATGCTGAACCCTCCCAAGTCATGTCTGTCCTTTCAGAAATACTTGTTTAGGTGCTGATTTTAAAACTATCTTAAACAGTAACATCCAGAAATACAAAGACTGATCCACTGAATCAAATTTTTTTTTTGCTTACCAGGGCTAAGGCCAAGCTCTCTCATCAAATCAGGGTTACAAGCACAGAATCGGTGAGAAAACTTTGTTATGAGAGTCTCAAGGTACTCCCCACGCTCCTCAGGAGCATGAATGTGTCTGAAGAACTCTCTCAGTGCATTTGGCAAGAACTGATTTCTGAAGTTATGCAGCGTCACAAGGTCATCCAAAACATCTCGCCTGGTAGAATAAAATCCCACATAATTAGAGAAGTTTCTTTTAACTGTTTAAATATGAAAACATATGTTTAAAAAAATAAAGCTTTAGAACAGCTTATGAGCTTTGGCTTTTGCAAACAAAACTATCACTAACAGTTCAAGCTAATATAAACCTGTTTTTCAGACACAATAGTAACCAAATATTATAGAAATACACGCTAATCAGAATTCCAAGTTTCTTTATATGCATATTCAATCATAGTCTACATACAGGCTTTACCTCCTTTAAACTGACAAAGCTATTAAAAAAAGAAAGTAAAGGGAATAGATTCATGTGTGTCACACATTTTGGTGCCTAAGTAGAATCCGTTACAGGAGTATCTTGTTAAAACCAGGCTTAAGTTAGACAAAATTTGCTCACAAAACCCCTTTAAGTCTAAGTCCATCAGGGTGCAATGGTCTCAAGCATTTTCCACTGAACACAGAAACATCTAAGGGATTCAGACTAGCCTGCATGAACAGATGTGCAAAAGACATCTGAAGGAAATTTGGATGTAAATTTGAAGTGAACCAAAGGATATTCTTGTATGTTTATCCTTTCTGTTAAACATTTCAGTACTAGGAGGGGAGTTTCGACATTTAGAAACCTAGTTTTATTTTTAGTGCCTGATTTCACTCTGTTTATGAAGAGAAGATGAATGGCAGTAGGGGTTGCTAATATTAACTTGCAATCTCATCTGTTAAACGGGTTTGTATTTTTTCTATTGCCAACAAAACCTGATAATCTAAAGTTTTACAGCACATGACTGTCAGTGGTGATACCACTACAGAATGACTCCTTTTATTCCTTCAGTGGTTCAGGGTGAGGAGAATGAACAGCAGAAGAGGATTCTTGCTGGAAGCACTGCTGTCCCTCTTCTCTTCCTGTTTATGTCCAGTTATTATTTTCCTCATCTTTCAACTGCTCTTAAACATGTTGATGCTCCTGTCTCCTGACACTGCACTACCCCAACCTGAGGGTATCCTGGAGGGCAAGAGAAAGCATTGTGGACGTAGAAGAGTATGCTACAGCAGGGAGTGTTCCCTACTGCAGTTCATGCTGTCTCCAAGAGGATGCTCTATTGGTGGGTGTTAACTTCCATTCAAGAAATACCAGACACCCAAATATTAGTCAGATGATTCAACATTAGTTAAAAAGCTACCATCGCTTGCTAAAGTGCAGCAAAATATCTATAAAACCTGAATGTCATACAGCACCAAGATTACCCTGTGCAGTTTACATGCTGACTATAACTTCAAAACAATTCATGTCCAGAACTGCAAAAATGCAGAAAAAGCATGGGATGTGATATTTACTTGTTATAGGTGGTATTTTCAGGGGTTCTTACAAAATGTTACAGTTAATAAATAATTGAACTGAGTAACTGTTCAGATTTAGCAGCAGCATTACTTAGTTGCATTTACACATGTATAAAATTACAACACAAGCAAAATATTGTTGAATGGTGCAGTACGTTGAAAGTGAATAGGAAATGTCTCAAGAGAAATTCAGATTACCTTTCATCAAGGTAGATTCTCAGCTTCTTCCAATTTAGTGTTCTTGTGCAAAAGATAAACTTAGCTATTTCTTTTGGCGAATCATCTAGTATGCCCTTGGACATAAAGTAGTTGACTCCCTGAGATAAAATACAAGTATGTATAAATATGCTTAATCTTCATAATGTGTTTAGGAACAAGTATTGTGCTTGGCAGTGTATGAACTTAATCCTACTAATTAGTTAATTTGTTTTTCGGAGTGATTCTTCTTTCTCAAAATCACATTTCAACATGCACAATAAACTCTAAAATTATAAATCAAATGCAAAGAAACATTTATTGTTATGGTTGAGATTTTACATATACTCACAATAAGAAATTTAAAATTATGAACCCTATAACAAGCATGTCAGTTCTTTATTAATTTCTTTACAGTGTAGACTAGTATTTTGGTTTTCATACTTTCGTAATTGTATATACAATGATGCAGGGTCCACAACTTTTAATTTCTTAACTTTTGTAAATAAGAAAATCTTAGCCATAATGTGTTCAGTCGTTAGTACCTTATATTAAAACATTAATGTTCTCACATGTATACAATGTATCACATTCAAATAGATGCATTAAATGCATTTGTTTAAATGTGCAATAATGCAAATAAACACAAGCACGCGGATTTCAAAAGCATAGGTAAATATCAACATATATAAATATGCGTACACAGAAAAAAAGAACATTCTGCCTAACAAAAAAAAAAGTTTAAAAAGATAGAACTGTGTATACTTTATATTATGATTTCCAGAATTTTCCACACTAAGCCAAGCACATATTTCTCATGGAATACGCATGACAAATCTAATTTAAAAATATTCCAGTGATATTCTGGATTCTTTCTATTCATTGAAATATCCCAAAGCATAAAACTATTTTCCTTATGATCTCAGAAATCAACACCAGCTTAATGGATTTTTAACATGTTCACATTTTTTAACAACAAAAATCTAAACCTGAGAATAACTAACCAACTAGTTTTAATTCAATTTGGCAGGGGCTAGGAGTGTGTTTTGAGCATTTGTTACAAAGAAGTGTTACAATACTTAACTACAGTATCTCTTAACTATACCACACTGTTGAAATAATGCAAAATGTGTAGGCCTGTAAATTTCTGCATAGGATAATGTACCAAGGCCACAACCTAAATCACCTTCAAAATACTTCTAAGATATTTTTTCATAAATCTTCTGATAGTAGGCTTCACAATATTTTTGCAAGTCTGCCCTTTTAGTTTACACCTATAAAGATGTAGGGGCAACCTGTCATTCAGTGTATAAACTCATTTCCCAGTGCTCTTCAATTTTGCTTAAAAAAGGAAATAAAGGACTTGAGTGCAGGTTTGGAAAGTTGTTTTATGAAATGGATTACTAAAGCAAAGTCTCAGTTTTATCAAGCAAAAAATAAATTAGAATACATGCTTAAGATATCGGTAACACAAGTGAAAAGCCAACAAACACCTGTAATATTATCTGGTTTTAACAGTCTGTAATTTTTGCTTATATATTTGTAGAAAATAGAAGTTAGCACTTTCTTTTTCTTTTTCTTTTTTTTTTTTTTTAAAGAATGCTATAGAAAATAAATGAAAAAAAAAAAGTTTTATAAAGGCAAGACCAAAAAAAGAAAAATCCTAGGAATTTTAGGCTCAGATTTTAAAAAGAATCTCCATTTAGGACTGTAATGAAACATGTATTTCATTGCAAGCATACATTTAAGTCCAAACTACATCATATTTAACTTTGTCCATAATATGGATGGTCAACATAAGGTAAAGTGCTTTCTTGAATTAGAGCTAAATAGTAAACTAAAATGGGAGATAAAATGAACTGTCCATTAATTCCTCAAATATTTTGGCAATTTATACAAGACTAGCAGCAGAACATACATATATACCCTTTACATATATCCTCACTTAATGAGACACATTTGCTTCAGTAATAAGTATTTGCTTAAGGTAATACAAACTGAAGCCTGGAAAGGGAGTCTCAATAATATTCCTGCTACAATTATTTAACAAACACCTCAGCAACATATCCGGAAAATACCTGGCATGTCATACGAGGCAGGATAAGAATAACACCTTCTTTAAGACATACAGTGAATCGGTTTCACTGTGACAGTAAATGCCATAAGTAATTTATTTTATGCATTAGATTTCATCTCAAGGTTCAATCTTCACCTGATAGTCTAACCACATCTTTGCAAAGCACTTTTATTCCCTGTCTCTAATTCCCAATCTCTCCCCCCGCCACACCTAATGCTTAACAGTATCTTTCTCTGTGAATGCAGTCTCGTTATTCATTTTCCTCATCTCCTTCACAAATGAACAGGGCGTAAATAAAATATACTTCATCACATGCCATCATTTTTAGGCACCTTTTATTTCTTCCTCAACAACCACAAACACTTTGTAACAACAGAAACCCGATTTCTCTTTAAAGTCCTTAAAGTTTGGCTCACAGCAAATGAAATTTATATACAAGATTTACGGCATGTCATCAAATCAGCTTTTTGTAACACTGTAAACACTGCCTTGAATTCCTCTCAGAACCTTCACTTCAAATAAATCACTTCTGGTAGCCAAAATGATTGCTTGTGGCAGGTATGCTAGCTGAAAAATCTAGTTCTACACATTATTAAAATAGACTCCAAGATTACCAGTCATCTGGTGATTCTCTTAGGATACATGTGACTGAAGTCAGGTTGGCAGATCTGTGCCGCTATCTACCATGTCTGAAGAGGTCTTTTTTTAACACTTAGGAATGAGCACACACATAGTATGTTCTTCTAATTCTGATGTAATGGAAGAGTAATTAGGTGAACAGTACAACAGCCAAGATTTCCAGTAGATCTGTGTCAGCCTAACTTATATGAGGAGCCTGCTTGTCACTGTTATGTTCTTAACATTAGAGAATTAGGAAAGATGCCTTAAGGATACCTTGCCTCTTGTGGCAAGAATGTTACCTCTGAATTTCAGACAGCTCTGGATAAAACTGCCACGTATTAAAGTGTTGATTTAAATTATCACATGCAAATAACAATCATAACTATAGACTAACAGTAACCAAAAAAGCCATTTGTTGTATTTCAATGTTATTTTTACAGTTGCTCATTTTTTCCCAGTCACACAATGCTTGTTTTACCAATCTATTCTGCTACAGGATTGACACTCCTTGCTTACTTTCTACCTGTTCCCAAGAAGTTTTCCATTAATTTATATCCATACAGGATATGTAAACTCAAAAAGTTTTCTTTTTCAGAATTGGTTTCATTTCTGCATTGGTTTTAGTCTCTGCTAAGAGTACTTTCAGAGTATTTTAATACAGTAGTCAGTATTAACATTTTTGTAGTTGCCTTTGCCATCTCTGTTTAGCTATCTATACAAAACAAACCAGATATTTTAAGTTATTTGCATAGAAATTTTGGAATCAGCATTTTTCTAGCCATATACATGATTTCTCTTTTTAATATTTAAATGGAATTGTTGCAAAGTTCAAGTTGGGAAACACTGAGGCTTTTTACCCAATGCCTATATAAAAGTAGTGCAAGAAAATATGACACACACGTTTGTCTACAGCAACAAATTTCACATAAATGGTTGTACACATGCTCAATTTGTTTAGCTTAAAAAGTTTTAACATGTGACTAAGGAAATCACTAGAAAGTATATTAATATTCATAGGCAATTTATAATTCTGCAAATTACATGCTTTTACATTTTGGTATGATAACATATATCAACATAAAATGCTGATCTCTTTCTAGTCTTTACTGTATTAAAAAAAAAAAAAAAGACTATTTTGATCACCAACAAAATTAAAACATTATGAAGTAAAAGCTCAGGAAACAGGAATTCAAGTTTATATACTAGCTTAATTATTTAGATAAATTATTTAGGGCTAGTATGTATCTGGCATCGTAGGGCCTCAACTGCTAATTGGGGCTTCTAGGCAAGACTAGCATTACTAAATACTAATTAGACATGCATGGTACTACTACTCCCATTTTTCTAAGGAAATGCAATATCTTAATATGTTTCATGGTGCATTTTCTGAAACAAAAGACACAGTACTGATGTCATATTTTCCAACAGAAATTTTTGTGATTCGTAGTTCCTAAGTTACAAATCAAGTTGTTGACTAATGTGGACACCATACAGAACATCACATTACAAACAGTGTCGCTTTCACTGTATCTCTTTAAAATACAGTCTCAGTGATACACAGTTATGATGGCAGAAATAATAAGTACAATATTTCTTATGTTACATAGAATCCATAGTTAACAATTTACAAGATTAAAGTTCTCTGACTTTCATGTAGAGTTTTCAAAAGGTTTCAGCTGTCTGGTTCATTCCACCTTTCCAGATAAATCACACAAAAGAACATCTTCCCTCTATGACATACACATACTTTTAATATTCGATAAATCAGTGAATCTCAAAATTGGTTCAGTTAGTAGATCCCTATGAAATAGGGTAAGTTTTCAAAAAATTGGGCTAGAAATATACAGTAAATATTCCATCATCTGCAGACTACAATTAAAAGTCAGGTAAGGTAGCTTTATGCATGTGGCTAACAATTCCTTTACAATCAAGAAGAGCTCAGAAAACTGACCTCCCTAACAAAAACTAAGGGTAGTTGGTAACAACTAGGACCATCAGAAGAGTGGAAAGCCAGGTTTAGTATAAGCACTGTCTTACTGTACTTTATTGTTATTATGCTACATAAAGGAAATCCTAACCTCATTTAAGTCTGGATTTCAGTACAGTCCAGATTCCAATAGATCCATAAAAAACAAGTGCTATTAAACAGCATCAGTTTTAATCATTAGCATTATGTAAAACAAAACAAAAACCCAAACAAAAAAGTCTTTCCTGACCAATCTTTCCACCTTCAGTTCCAATTTTAACTACCTAACATAGCTCTATGTAATAAACTTGACAAAATATCTTGTAGGGAATTAGAAACATATACAAAACAGTGAGAAATAACTTCTGTTTGCTTACAAATTCCAAGTCATAAGCGTGTGAGGTATGAAATGAGCACTGCATGAGAAACACTTCACATACACCATACACTCTTTAGAATAAAATACAGCAGAGACCATGTAGGCAGATTGAACAACATAATGTTCGTATTCAAGTGTTAATGCTAACACTAAACCATCCCTCCTCCCCAAGAAACAAAAACCAAGCTCCAAAATCCTGGCTACAGTGGTGCTGCCAATACGAAAAAAACCAAACCAAACACTAAAAAAACCAAACAGCAGCAGCAACAACAACAACAACAACAAAAAAACCAAACAACCCAAAAAAACCAAACCCCACAAACCTAAAAGCAAAACCAACCAACAAACAAAAAAAGAGAAACCAAACATGCACTGGAGTTTTTAGCTTTTTTGTTTTCGATTACGTGTGATTAGGCACATCCTTTCAGCAGAATGTGAGCACCTGCTATGTATTATGCAAGCTCATGCACACAATCAGTACATTAAATTACAGCAGATACCACAACACCATGCACACAACAATGGCTAACCAGAGAATCCTACCACAAAGTGTGTAGATGCTCTTCCCTACCCCGTGAGCCACCGCTAGCTCTGGAGCTGTTGCTGTGGAGCCTGGTTACCCATTTTCATGACATGGGAGGTGTCCTTTGGAGAATCTTGCTCCTGTGGCTGTAAGTATTCCTATTTTTATAGTAATTTGACCAGGTCTGTTATCAAATGTAAAGCAGAGTTTGGCAGGAAATTCGGAGATGCAATTTGTAATAGTGGAATGTCATGTCATATCATATATTCCAGTCACAGTGTCCTTACAATCATAATGCTGCCAATACCACAGTTGTGAACAATACAAGCAATAGTATTTGTGAATTCTCCTGAAACTCAGGCCCTGAATGATTCCTACCAGGCTATGGTGCTCCACAGGGAGAGAGGAACAGAAGCCCTTAGGAGGTATCCTGAGGTTCTTGTTTCTCATTAGGCTTGAAGCAGGCCATTTGTACTACTATTGTACAATATACCATAATGAAGCCAGAAAAAGTAAGTGTAGGATAATAAATTTAATAACTAATTTAGGTATACTACAAGGTAGCTCTAATTTGCAGATCTTGTAAAATAATGATTTTTTTATCCAGTGCCTTTTGTGAAGACTCCAAATGCTTTAAACCTGACAAGATTACTTTAAATTAGATTGGAATACAACAGCATATTATAAATGAAGGTATAAGCATAAAAAAGCCCCAAAACATTAAAGCAAATTGAAAGATAAAGAGAAATTTGAGTAGACAAAGCTGATACCAAACTAAAACTTGATATATTCTTAAAAACATTTAAGTTACCTAAATATTGTGTTTCATTTAGAAAATTTTACATTTACTAGTAAATTCACTAAAAGTCTGCTGAAAATCAATGCTAGTCACTCAAGTGGCACTTTGTATCACAGTTCAAGGCAGAGCTCTAACAGAGAAATTACAAAATATTGTATTTTGTGACTGATAAGAGGAGTGATTTTCAAGCAGAATATGAGATAAAGCAAGAATTTAAACAACATGACATTATTGTAATGATGCAACTGGTTTATTTATTTCACCCTGCAGTTACATGTTTGTGTTTTCTGTATATCAGCAGAGTGAACTATTTGCTCCTAGAAGTGTACCTTTTCATGTCTCTTAATCCTCTTCCTACTTTGGATTTATTCAATTACCACTTCCTTCTGTATGTGCAAATACATTCAGGAAGTTAACACTACTTTTTGTTCTGTACTCTGTACCACCTTTTCCTAGGAAACATGAAGCAGGAGTCTGGTTTTCTACACAAAAGACTCTCTTTGTCACTTGGGCATTAATTGCAGATCTCCCAGGCAAAAGCTGTCTACTTTCAAACTCTTTTCTTCTTTGAAAGGTGACAGAGTGAAAGCAGAAACTGACTTTCTGAGTTAGTTTCATGAATTAATATATGGAAACCTTCTAGATTTACATGGGGTATTTTTTGAAAATAACTATGTTGTTACATACTATAAAGAAAGATTACATTTATGCATAATAAATATCCACAGATATCAAATCAAACTGATCTTTAGAATAGTTCATAGTATTATTTTCATAATATTTCAAGATTTGCTCCTTGATAGTGGAAATACTTAAATATTTCTTACAAGAAACCATAAATTTCACAGAAGTAATTTGTGTTACCTTATACCTCACCCTGCTATAACTGATGTGGGATCAAACTAACTCTGCAGGCCTATTATTATTCATTTTAAATTCACCACTGTCTCCACAGTACAGGATACCTCTCTCATTCCTAAGTCAGTATGAGGTTATGAATTTCTGGAATTCATAGGTCAGACCACTGTACAGAGCGCTTAAAAAGCAAGCCATGTTAATGATGTGCACAGGTATCATCTGCAAAAATGATCAGGATAGGGCTGTAACTTACTATTAACCACTCCTATGTTAAAAAAAAACCCAACCCCCAAAAAGCAACTATTAAAACTTAGCTTTTAATACAGCTATGGTTATAAAACAACAACCACAATTATTTAACTGTTTACTACTATCAATAACAGTTCACTTACCTCATCAGGGTTGGCATTAAAGGTGAGACTGCCCTCATCTAGCTGCATATACAATTTTCTAAAAGAAAATCCTAGAGGTGGATTCTTATTGTATATAGAACAGTGACCCCAAGTGGATTTGCACAACCTATGAAAATAGAATTAGTCTATTATAAAAATTCCTTTCTGTATTTCATGTATTTTACAGAAGCAAAATGTAATCAAGACTGCAAAGTCAAATACTCAAATTATAGGAAAAGTTAGAAATAGGTTGCTTGTTACACTTAATTGTTAATCCTTTTATATGTGTGTTGCTGAAGTTTTCTTCTCACAGGTTTTGGTGTATTTGAGTGCAATCTCAAACCATATCCCAGTAGGTGGCATCATAACGACATCCACATAGCTGAGACTTCTGTCACTTCTAGTATTTGAACAGTGGGTAACTGTGACAAGTTGCTCTGCAGCAGTATCACAGATTAAAAAATTGTGCTTCTTTTCCTGTGCTCCAGTTGTACAGTGAGTGGGACACTACATCTGCACAAAATTATGCCATTAACTTATTGCTTTCCTTGACTGTCCTTTTCCACCCACCTGGCCTCTTTCCAGTCTTGACCAGTCCTAATTCTTCAGTCTGGCCCCATCCCTTTATATCTTCCATTACTTCTCAGTTTCTTTCCCTCTCATCACACCCTGACTCCATATCTCAGTTTCATCGGTTTATGTTCATCTCAGTCTCTTTGATGACACCATCTAAAATTGCCTTGAACTTCCACTTCATGGGCAATCAGTTTGTTATCTAGATTCCTTATTGAACTGGTAGTTCTGCTTCAACGCATCTATTTTGTAAATAATTAGGCACAATGTTTAGGGCCCAGCAGGCAGCCACTGAGGACATGGAAGTGACTTTGTTTTCAGTTCAGGAACCTGGGTCCAATTTGGACTGGATTCAGAACTGCAATCACAGGGCTTGCCAAAGCCTAAAATCAAACATATCCAATGCATATGCAATGTTGAAAATTAAGATATCTATAGAGATTATTCAAATTGAAATCTTTATTAATTTGCTAAATCAGGACACATTTTCACTAACAAAGTGTATACTCTGAACTGAGTACTATTTGGGAAAATTTTACTAAAAATGATTGAGCTACCCCAGGATGAACTCTGTGGAAAATATGTATTTTTTTTTCCCTTGTATGTTAAGAATATATACTACATACAATTAAGAATCTCTACTATCTTTGGTCCAGAGAATTTATTTGTATTTAGTGTGGGTTTTTTATACCAAGAACCGAGTAAAATATAATGGATACTGACATAAACTTAGGAGGTTAGCAGGATCTTCACTAGAATTCCTCTTTCCTACCAAGAAAACAGTCCCCAACAGCAGAACAATTGTGACTAAGAAGTTATAATTGCATTAACCCTATTGCTGAGCTCATAAAGCATGATAAGAAGGGAAGCTGCTTAATTTAAATGCAGATAGGCAAAGAAATAGATGAAGGAAGAGACGTAGAACACAATGAAAGGGAATTAAACAGGACCTGAACAACAACCCAGCAGTAATACTTCTTACTGCCTGTTAAGTTAAAAGGTAAGAATAAATTGTGAAAAAAAGATACAAGTTCTGCTGACCATCTACTCTAAAAATATGATTTCATGAGTCTTTCCCAGTGTTGTAAAACATCAAATATCAAAGAAAATAGTTTTAATTAAATTTTGATCTTATACTATTTGGTAGAGCATTTGTTTATTTGTTTCCTGGACATACATACTCTCTGTATGTATATAAATGTCTTTCAACTGTTAGACTGCAGAAATTCCTCCTGACACGTGTGCAGAACTGACCTTTTCTTTCCCCCTTCCATCACCATCTTCCAAAAAAACATATATACACCAGTTGCACTAAGACAAGTGTATTAGACGAGTTAGAATCCCTTTCTACCTGGATTTCCTGCTGAGTAGGTTTGTTTGCTCGAGCCAGATATTTGTTCAAAGTTCAGAGAAGTAATAATACGTACATTTGAGATGTGCTTTGAGCTAATACCAAAGTGAAGATAAGTCCTTTTTTTTGATGATATATCAAACAAGTGTGCAGTAATACACATGTATACTTGTACCAAGCACACTTATGTATGTAGTAATCTGTTACTACCTGACAGTAATCAGAAATCCAGAATAACATATTTTTAAACTATATTCATATTTCCCCTGTGTAAAATCTCATTTAATTTAGCAAACCTTTTTCTAAGGTTACTGTGACAAAAGGCACACATTGAGACAAATTTAAAATCTGGTAATTATTTATATTTATGTCCAGGTGATTTTTTAAAATTTATTTACTTATTTTGCTTACCCTTGCCAAAGAAGCTCATCATTAGCAAGATCCTGCCAGACGCATGAAGCTAGACAGAGATCAGTTGCATTCAGGTATGACAAAATGGTAAAACTAAGCTCTGGTGGCAGCATTTCCAGGTTAATGAATCCTTCTTGTTCTTTAGTTTTTCTGGTCTTCAACAGGTGGTAGATATCAATGCCTCCTTGGGTTTGTTTTCGATGGCTTGTATTGGAAACACTGTTGGTAGCTATCCTCCTACCATGCTCTCTGGTAAAATAGCCTTGTCCACTGTATCCTTGGTGTTGCAGTTGCTGGTTCCTAGCAACTCTCCAGAGTCCCTGACCCATCTGCGAGCCTGCTGGACATAAAATCCAAATTAAATGTTGCCAGCCATTTATGAATATTTGCAAGACAGACTCAGCACACATTGGAAAAATAAAACTGTAGGACTGATTCAAGTAGAAAAAAAGAGAGCTTTGTCAAAGTTATGCTGACAATATAATCTTGTCTTCAGTGGAGCAACTGAATAAATACTGAACACAAACCCATCAAAATTGATATTTTTACAAAAGCTTTTGTGCTTGAAGAGTTATAAAATTAATACTAAGCTTCTGTGAATAGTAACAAACATTATCTGTGTCCTATGCAAGTTAAGAAGCCTTAGCTTTCAGAACATTTCGAATTACTATCTTCAAACTTCCTTTAAAATGCAATAAAAATAGCTTATGTAAAGTCAGTGAAGTGCTATAAAATGTAAGAAGATATAAGAATGTCCTGAATAGTGAGAAGCACACAAAATTAGCCTGTGCCTGACATTAATACAAAGTTTAAAAACTTTAATGATAATGCATTAAGGATTCATTGTTTCTTGTAAGTTTCTTGTTTCTGAGCAACTCTCCTGGGTTCAGCTGTAGCAGCTATTTTTCTCCTTCTTAATAACTGGTGCAGTGCTGTGTTTTTGACTTTAGTCTGAGAACAACACTGATAACACAATAATGTTTTTAGTTGTTGCTAAGTCATGTTTATTCCGATCAAGGACTTTTCAGTCTCTCATGCTCTGACAGTGAGAAGGGGGCACAGGAAGCCGGGAGGAAGCAGAGGCAGGACACCTGACCCAAACTAGCCAAAGCGGTATTCCATACCACAGCATGTCATGCCCAGTATATAAACTGGGGGGAGTTACCCAGAAGGCGCAGACTGCTGCTCAGGTTTGGCTGGGTATCAGCTGGCATGTGGTGAGCAATTGCATTGTGCATCACCTGTGTTTATTGTTTTCCTTTCCCCCTTTTAGCTTTATATTCTCTCCCCTTGTTATTTCCCTTATCATTATTACTATTACTATTATTGGTGGTAGCAGTAATGGTTTTGTGTTATACCTTAGTTACTAGACTGTTCTTATCTCAACCCGTGGGATTTACATTCTTTCGATTCTCTTCCCCATCCCTCTCGGACCGGGGGAAGAAAGAGGGGCGGAGTGAGTGAGTGGCTGTGTGGTTCTGAGTTACCAGCTGGGCATAAACCACGGCAGCAACCAAAATATGTTTTCAAGGTTTCCTGCACGGTAGCATAAAAACTTCAGGATAAGACTTCTGTATTTTACTTATCACTGTGGGGTTTTTATTTTTTGTTGAACTTCGCTGCAGATGAGAATAAAGAGAACAGATCCTGAATGAGTTAGTCAGTTGTCAAGATTTCTGAATGCTGTAACTCAAATTTCAGTAACCACCTATATTTATCAAGAGGGAAAAACAGTATGATAAATCTTACTAATTCAGTATGGTAATGTTATCGTAACCCTATCACAAGTAGTATATATATGGTGATAATTTTTCAACCTTTATTATGATGACAGATCACTAAAGCAATCATACCAGTAATCTGTAGGTTCCCAATGCTGGTATTAAAAAAGAAACACTTATGGCCTGGTCTGCTAAGATCTCACATGTATTTGAAATTATGTATATTCTATTAGCATGGGAAATTAAAAACAGGGTTTTAACACTGTTTAAGGTTGGACATGAATGGAAACTGTTCTACATAAGCTGAAAGAAACAAGCCATGAATGCAATGAGTAATTATGGGAGTAAATGGAGAAATTAGACAAAGTACAGGAAAAAAAACCCCACCACAATCAAGATGGAAATCAACACAAGACAGGTTCATCTGGCTAGTGAAGCTGTTATCTACATAACCATCCATTCAGGGAAAGTTTAAGAATTCACTCCTAGATAAGACCAAAGTTGTGAAGAAACTATAGTCATATGCATTATATCCAATTTAGTAATATGCATGACTTTACATAAATTCATCATTATTATTATTCGTATTTCTTGTACAAATATTTGGCTTTTTTAATTGTACAGAGACAGATTAAACCATGATCAACTGCTATAAATTATCAGACAATTAAAAATAAGGCTTACTGAGTTGCAACCACAAGTAGAATATACCACTGGCGCAAGAATGTATGCATAAAGAAGGTATTCTCATTTTCTTGAGAACAGCATAAAATTTTTAAAAGTCCTCAGGGCTACGGTAAAGTTGCTTCATGACTGGAAGCTATGCCACAATCTGCCATGTAAAAAGTGACAAGGTAAGGATGATCAAAGTAGGTCTTGGTAATTAATGCTGGTGTTTGCAATTATGAAAGTTTCAGCTGTACACGAAACATATTTCGTCACAAGATGAAGAACTCTGCCTTTATTTTTCATGGCCTAGCTAGATTAAAATCCAAGGTAGCAACTTTTCTAAAAGAGATGCAGTTGCTCAGTGCTACCTTTTTCTGGTTTTGAACAACTACATCTCTCCAAGCAGAAGGAAGTTACTAACTTTCATCCCAAAGGAGGATCACCAACCACTGTTAAAATAAAATCAAAAGCTATTAAATGAATCAGTGGCAGGTGTGCCAGAACTGGCATTCCGGACTACAAGCATAAGCTCATCAAGTCTGCTTCAACTGTTGCTGTTATTGCCCCTGGTAGGCTGGCAGAAGATACAGTGATGAGCAGTGAAGAACCAAGCTAAACACCAACTTGTGTGGGTAGGTGGTAACACCCAAGGGCTGGAAGGAGATAGCTTTCCCAATGGGTAAAAAGATCAGACCTGGAATACAATATTTCTCAGCATGTGCAACATTTCAGACTATCAGATATAGCAACACTATCACTGTGCTAGAGGATTCAATTAAGATAAAACTCCTATTTTGCAAGTCATTGTATCTGAGCTTGCTAATTACTCAAGTACAGTACTTGGTAAGCAGTACTGTATATCTAAAGGAATCTAAACATCTTGTGAGGCTTCAACCAATTCTTGATCTTAGCCCTGTGAGTAACCTGAACATTGCCAACAAGGCATTTTACTTTCAAAGATGCAGATGTCTAATTTAGAGACTATGTTCACTCTCAGAAGATATCAGATGATCTCAAGGGCTGAATAATAATGAACGTTCAATTCAAATATGTAAACTTCGAAAGAGGTAAATGTATACATACACATGTAGGTGTAACTCCAGTATAATCTGCACACTCTCAGTGCAGCTTTTCATGTAGAAACAAAATCTGCCTGAAAATATAGCACTGACTATAAATAATAAAATAGCTAAGACCAAAATACTAGTTTCAGGGACAGAGAGAACCAAGAGCAATACTTTATAATCCTTCTTTATTATTTCAAGTCCTTAACCTTAAGACAATGGAAATCAGCAAGAAGAGATATGACTCTGCAGTATGAAACCTTACATTTCACAAAAGATGAAATGAGAGAACCTATTCTATGCAAACAATATACGTCAAGTAGAGAGAAAGGAACGTTCTGCTAAATGCATAAATCTGTCATCTGAGATAACTTTTAGTAAGATAGATTAGAGAAATTATTTTGCTAGTAATTTTTTCTACCTTTTCTCACATAATTTGATATCATTATAATAAAACCACATTTCTATGCACATTTGTTATCTCCCAACCGTTAAAAATCTTCTGAAAATAATAATTATCATAATTTAAATAAAAAAAAAAAGTAGTAACAGGAAACTCAAGGCTCTGAAGATCATTTAAGAATTATATGGTGACAAGATTAATAATCATAATACATCAGGAAGATGAGAGATGACCAGCAGCATTACCATAAACAGTCCACAGAAGGGCTGTGCCCAGTCAATTATGAAGTGAATTTATGCTACCAGGTAAGCATCTGGCAATCTTATTATAGCTTTTAAACCTCTTCAAAGTCAGATTATCTTTGTGCTCGATACACAGTACTTGTAAAGAATTTGGTCGTGGTCACAAATGACCAAAATCAAATATTCAAATATCCAAAACCAAAGTTGCTAGTGTAATACCTTTATTGCAATAATCAGCTAGAAGTTCCTGCTCCCAAAATACCTTCCATTAAGGAATACTGAGCTAACAAGATTATCAACAGTTCCTGTCAGGGCTCACAGGGTTCTTCTCCCCACACAAAAGCTAATTGCTATAATCACCAACAACATAATCGTTTCCAAATTATTTGACACTAAAAATGGCTTCCAGACAGAAACAAACCCCTATTCTGTGTCATTCAATAAACTGGCCTTCTTAAAATGCACTCACATACTTATACAGAGCATATCACTGCAGAAATAATTTTAAAGGTATCTTTAATGTAAAAAAAATTAAAAAAAATGAAATTTCCTCTTTAAAGTACCAAATGAAGAATTTTCAGAGAAGAAATAAAATGAGACACAATTTAAACCATTCCAGAACCAGCCGCTGGAAATTCACAAGCTTTTGTATGTGTGTAGCTATATATGCCAGTTTATATGCCATTTCTTAGATCACATCTTGGTTTTGTAGTAGTAGCTTTGTAGTAATCCAGGATTAATGCTTTGAGAACTCATTCATGAAACAAGATGTGTAAGCTAACTGTTATTATAAAGACTTTTAAGTAAGGTGTCTAGAATTATAGTTTTAAACTATTTTGAACATACACCTTCCATCACCATTCTCTCCACTCAAATGTACGTTTCTTAAATGTCTCAAAAATTCCAGTTATGTAACTTTATTTAACAGAGACCTTTTGACAGCTTGGCTGTAATAATTGTCACAGTAAAAATAATAAGCTTGCTTATGGATTGCTGATATTCTCTGGCTCTGTCTGTTATCTGTCAAGAGTCTGCTTTCAATTTCAATTATGTCTTCTGCATGTCGCTTTGTTAGTGCACAATAAATTCTTCTGCAGTGTTGAAGGATACTAAAAGCTAAATGAATCCTAGATTAAAACTGTATTGGTACTGGTTTCTGCTTTATGAAATAAAACCAGACACTCGATATAAACGCCATCCACCTCATAGCAACTTAGCCCTACTGCTGCCGCTTGGCTACCGCGATTATCCAAACAGGCAAATGTTTCCTCCTCCGTGTTACCGAACCTGAAGCTTCGTTCATCGCAGCTGCACTGGTTACCGAGGCCTGCGATACCTTGACGTAAGAGCCTTTCAAACCCAACTCAAGGCAACTACGCGGCTGCTCTAGGGGCACAGCAAGTCCCTCACGCTCAGGGCCGCCCCAACTGACAGAAGCGACCTAGGAATCCCCCTCGCTGAGGGCGGTGGCTGCACTCCCGCCGCGCAGAGGAACCCCGAAACCGTTCCTCTGACCGCTTCCTACAAACAGGAACCAAGACCTCTGCTGCCGCACGCCAGGACACAGCAGACGCCCAGCCACCGGGACCCGGAGAGCCTACCCCGCGGGTGCCGCCCCCCCCACGCCATTGGGCCTCCCCAGTGGCCCCGGCTTTCGATTGGATGCGCGGCCCGTCCATCCGCATTCGCCGGTCCCCCGAGGGAAAGCCGCAGGGTCCGTACCTGTCCGAGTTCGGGTCCCAACCGCCGCCGCGACGAGCCCGGCCCGAGTCCGTGCGTGAGCCTCGCCGGGCAGGAGGTGGCTGAGGAGCCCCCGGCGGCGCGAGAGGTGGTGGGAGCAGCGGAGGCCCCTCGGCAAGCAGGGAAACCACCACCACCACCCGTCTCCTTGCCTGGCAGGTTTGCCGTTTGCTGTTGTTGCTGGAAGTGACGTCACCGCGGCGGGACGCGCAGGAAGCGGAAGAGGCTATTGGGTGTTGCGGCGGTAGGTTCGATCTGCGCCCGCCACCGGTTGGCAGCAGCTGCAGTCTTGAGGAGAAGCAGCGTGGCAGCCGCTTTTCGGAGCAGGAGGCCTGGTGGAAGGTGGGGTCCAGCAGTAGGGGCGGCAATGGGCGCGGGTGAGCGTTGGGATCGCTTTCGGGGCAGGGGCTGGCTCCGGCTCCGGCTCGGAGCCCAGAGCATTCCTTCTCCTCCTCCTCCTGGACTGTGAGCCCCGGGGCGGAGTGGGGGAGGCCTGGCCTCCGAGGGTCTAGGGTTGAGCAGTGGCAGGTGGGGAGGCCGCTCCTGCGAGTTCGGCTCGGGCTGGCGCGGCTCCGGGACGGCGGCCGACCTTGCCAGCGGCTGCGACGCGATTTTATTTTTTTTTTTCGCCGGTGTTTTGATGGCACCCAGGGCAACCGGTCTGTGGCGTGCAGTTCCTTGTGCGGTTCACTCGTTTGCAAACGTGGTGTGTGTCTGGAGTGTGTCTGCGGCAGCTGGCACGGTAGCGAAGTCCACTGTTTGATGATTTTGCATCTGAGCATAAAGGTGTTCTCCTCCACCTCCCCATCCCATGTAACAGAAGAGTCACAAAATCGTATTAAACTAGGTTGGAAAGGCCCTTAAGGATCATCTGAAAATCGAAAACAAGTCTTTTTCGTTAGGCATTTCAGTGTTTACAACTCTAAAATATTTGGTAACTTGCATGTTTGGTGGTTTGTTGGTTTTTTTGTGTGTGGGTTGGGTGGGGTTTTTGTGTGTTAGTTGGGGTTGTTTTTTTTTTTGGCATTCATTGCCTCTTTGAATACCGTAAGCAATTTTGAGAGTTGTTCTTAAACTGGTTCTATGCTAAAACTTTGTTATACAAGATTTTACTCTGGGTAGCTAATGTTCTGTAACTGTTCTGTCATGAATTCTTACAGGCAAAACTTATATACCACTTTTTACAGTGTACAACTTCCCAAAGTATTATTTTTCTACCAACTTAATTGTTATATGTATGATCTCCCAAGCTATATAGTTTGTACTAATGACAGTTGCCAGTTTTTACATCTAGAGGCATGGTGTAGGAAGGATTGTTGGTACTGTTGGGAAACAGCCTGTATGGTTAGACAAATTCCTGTGAGAGTGTCTTCTGTGAGTACTTGTGTTGCAGATTAGTGCTTCAGTTTTACAGCAGACTCTTAGAGGTTTGCCTTGAGATCTGGTTAGGTTGGCAATACCATAGGGTGGATCACTTTGTAAGTGAGGTGGGAAAAACAGCTGCCTCGGTTTCCAAATGCTTGATGTTGAATTGTCCCTAGCCTTTAACAAAGAGTGTTGTATAGTTATATTTGTCACGAACCTAATGATTGAAGAGCAAGAACCTGATAATTAAATAGGAAGAAAATACTTAAAAAAGGGCAGAATGCTTGTGAAGATCTTCCTTCATCTTCTTGACGATTGCTGATTTGGGCATCATACCATACCATTGTGAGTGCAGGCTTTAACTATTTGGAGGTGTTGTGGGTTTCGTTGGCATTATTTTCTTTGTTTGAGGTGGTTTGGTTGGTTTGGTTTGCTTTCCTGTAAGTAGATGTGTATGACCGAAAAGTTCCTTTCAGTAAGACCCATTGCTTTAGTGAATACGACCAAATAACAAGGCTGCAAACTGGAGTACCTGTCAGAGTTACTGTAATGTCTTTGAAGTGTTTGGTCTGAATCTCAGGTGTCAGCAGGAAAAAATATATAAAATGCTGTATCTCAAGGATATCTCTTCCATGCTTTCTGGTAATGCCTTTTTATTGTTTGGGTTGGTAGGCTTAAAGTATATGTTTTGTGTCAAGAAAAGAAATTCAGTGTAGACAGTGGCAGGCAATTATCTCCCAGGTTCTAAGCAGAAAATTGAGCAGTAAATTTTTGTTCTAAGGCTTTATAGGTGAAACCATTACTGAGGCTTCTGGGGGAAGTAAGGTAGTGGATTAAGCCAGTCACAAGCAGATCTCAAGGTTGTGATGAAGGAAAGCTGTTTTTGTGAAGTGTCAATCTGTACTTCTGTACTTTCAGTAATGTTCTCTTTCTCCCCCACCCTTGTTTTTTCTCTAAACCATTGAAAAAACAGAGTTTGGCAGTTTGCTAATAGATTTTCTCAAGTCGTATCAGCCTGTCCAGATTACTATTATGCAAGCTCTTGGTTTTCAACTGACTTAAGAGCTGGGCAGTCACCCAGTCTGTGCTTTTAAAGCCTCATGTTGGAGAAGAGCTAATTAATATTGGCTGCTTACAAACAAATGGTTGCAAGGTAGATTACATAGGACTCATAGGCTGTCTCTAAATATAAATGTATTTTGAAGCAGTGGAGTGAGGACAGGGTTCTTTAAGATAATTATTAGTACTGATATTTGAAGGTACTGCTGCAGGTGTTTAATTTTACTGTCTGCCAGCCAGGTGGAGTTGCCACTATTCCCCAGTCTCCTCTTCCATGTGAGAATTTACTAATCAGCTTTGTTTGTTATAACGTGTTAAAAGTAGGAGCTTCCTGTACTTATGTATCCCTTTGATAGATGTAAAATTTGGTTTGGATGATGGTGATTTTATGCTTTGCTGATTCTCTTGTCGCTTTGCTCCCCTTTCTTCTCTTCCCCCCCCCCCACCCACCTTGAAGTTTTCAGTTTCTTTGCAGGGTAGTTCTGCAGGGAGAAAGGCACCTTTCTGTAGTTTGCATCAAGTCCTTAGATGTCCTTAGAAGTCCTCTTTATTCTGCGAAGTAAAGTAAATTAAAAGTGGGTTCTCATCTCATGTGTTACAATGTAGAAGTTAAACAGGGACATTTTGGTTATCATACCAATAAACTTGTACCTATTTTGAAATATTTAGGCAATCTGTTACCCCGTTCCCCATGAACAATTTTAGGTGTATTTAGTGGATCATCTAGATGCGAAAGTGTTGTCTGTGGTGAGTTGTTAGCCTGTCTTCCCATGTTTACACTTCCAAACATTGCTCTCTTCGCCGGTGAACTTGGGGCCAGCTGAGTAAAAGAATAAGCAGCATTCAAAACTGAAAAATGCAAAAGCTTTTCACTGCTTGTGGGCTTTCTGCTCCATTAAAATAGAGAAGAAACTTGTTTTCATTCAGTTGTAGTGGATTTAACTGGCACTAAATTCTTTAAATGCTTTCAGATATATTTAAAGATCTTTAATAGTTGATTGGGTTGGGGATTACTAATTGATCCTATTTAGAATTAATGATGATGACTGATGGTATTGAGCTGTAGCTTGGTGCTGTACTGTAGCACTTTGGAAATAGTCATGTCTAGAAATGAGGAGCAAAACCCTTTCAATTTCAGTGATAACTCTATTGCATTTTATAATTTTTTGTGTTTGTTTGTTGTTTTGTTTGTTTTTTTTTTTTAAGGAGGAGAATTGCATTTCTTTCATAATCTGAGAGAAGGATAGTATTTGAAATAATGGCAACAGGAGACCTAAAAGGAAGTATAAGAAAAATAGAGCAAGGACTTCGCTTGATAAATTATCCAAGAGATGTGGATTATACAGTGTAAGTGGTAGTGTAAATAAATTTATGCTAATATATGATGACAGCAATATGTGTAAACGAAATATGTGTAAATATTGGCATTGTACCCAGTGATGAATAAGCCAAGCATATGTCTGTGGGAAGCTGGGGGTTTGCTACATGTGAACTGGAAGATAAAAGGATGTAGTTCTGCTCTTCTGAGAATCCTTGTAATAATCATGAAGTGTATCTTCAGTGTACACTGAAGTATATTGCTATCTTGCCCATTTTTCTTCTGTTTTTCTCATTTCTTTGATTAATCTCTCACCTTTATAATTCCTCTGTAGTTGCTAGCAAATTTCATCTTGCAAATATTGAAGAAAAAAAGTGTTGAATGTCAAGAAGACAGTGCTGATAGGCTTTAGACTGGACAATATTAAAATTATGAGAGTCACAAAAATGTTTTGAGCATTTTGCAGATAACAGTAGACTGCTGAATGAGAGATGCCTGGAAAAAAAAATAATTAAGGAGATAACCTGGACATAGCATGCTGTCTATGTTAAAACACCTTTCAAACTGAATGTTTGAATTCGTATCATGAAATTCAGTGTTGTCTTCTGCTGTGTAAAGTACTTTTGTTTCTCAATAGGCTAGTAAAAGGTGATCCAGCTGCATTTTTACCTATCATCAGCTATTCTTTTACATCTTTTTCAACTTACATAGCAGAGCTTTTGGTAAAGTGTGATGTGGAACTCACAGCAAAGAGTGACTTGCGTTTTATTGAAGCTATTTACAAGGTATTTGTCTTTATATTCTTCACAGAAGGAACATAGGTTTGAGTATGCCATTGTAAAAATTAAACATCTAGGATAAATTTTATAGAAAATAAAAGTTTTTTTGCAATGAACGTACATAGTAATTCTGTTAGGATTTAAGATGTGTAGTAAGTCAGTGTGTGGTAAGTCTTTATATATATTTTTATGAAAATAAAGTTGGATGTTGTTAGCCAAATCTCAGTGTTGAGACAGTGGCAGAAACAGTAGCACTATTCGTGTATGTTTAGTTGTGAATAATACTGAAATGTTTAATACATAATAAGTTTTATAGAAGTGACCTTAGAAGAAACCATAACCAGCAAAAAATCACATCAAACTTCAATGATCATAATGAAAATGATGTTAAGAAATACAGGTATTTTAAAACACCATGCTGCATTAATATATAAAGTCCAATATTTAATAGCTTAAAAATCGGGATAAATATAATGAATATAATCTTTTAACTCTTCTCTAAAAATATCCATAAGCACATGTTTATAAAAGGTGGCTTGGTGTGTTAACGAATATTAGCTTACTCAGACTGGTTTGCGCCCTGCGAAGGACAGAGACTCCTTTACAAAGAAGCTCTGTTGGAGCCTTACTTAGCTCTCTGATGTATTTGCTGAGATTGATACAACTTCGTATCGTGCATTCACTTTGAGAAGTTTTTGCTTGACTTTTTAAGTATTAATGTCTAAAATAATTTATTTCATTAATCTTAAGAATGTGACTTAATCTTTACAAGAATATTGTGAACAAAGTGTTTTAGAGGAGATATGTTTAAAATCTAGTTAGAAGAAACAGCTGAGAATATATAAATAACCAAATGTTTAAAGTTTTAACTGCTGAAGTGCAGAATGAAAGAAAAGATTGTAGAAAAAATAAGAACCTGAGCATGCTATTTCTACAACAGATTGCATGGTGATTTTGAAAGTGAAGCAGACTCTTATTTTGTTGCAGCTTCTTCGAGATCAATTTCAATATAAACCAATTTTAACAAAACAGCAGTTTCTTCAGTTTGGCTTTGTGGAAAGAAAAATGCAGATTGTTTGTGACATTATCAACTGTGTGGTAAAAAAACATAAGGAATTAAGTAACTCGAATAAGGTACTGATTAAATGGTAATTTTATTATAAGTTTCTTTTGACATGCTTGATGCTGCAGGTAGAAGCTGAACTCCTTTTAGATGCAGCATTGCTGATGGTCAAAATAGGGGGAAAAATTAGTATGAAGTTCTGTTGTTAGATGCTTGAGCCCTATCAAGTATATGAAAGACACGAAGCTGGTAATGCATTGTAGTATAAACAAACAAACAAAAAAAGACTAAAGATAAATCCAGTACTTTTTAATAGAAGTGATTTATTTTATTCTTGACATAGTGAATATATAATTAGACTTTGCTAGTTCATTTAAAAACAAAGCAAAGCCATCAGATACACTAAAGTTCTGCTAATAATTTAAGAATGACACTTGTATGCCACTGAAACACAAATGCATCTCAAATCTGATTATTTTCTTCATATTTCTTTTGCATTGTTAAGTCATTTTTATCAGTGTATGCTGTGTATCAGTCTTCTTTAATAAAAGAAATCTTTTGTCCTCATATTTTACAGGATTTTATTTCATTTGAGTTTGTAACAGTCTTCAGGACTGTTAGTTAGACTTGCTGTATACTTGATTTGTCACTTTTTGGGGCATAACTACCTTTTTTGTATTTGCTTGTTTTTCAGCTCTGGGGCAAATTGTTTTCTGTTTATGACCAGCTTTGATGCAACCTCATATAGACATTGATTGTATGAATGTGGCATTCACTTCCAGATCCACTTCCTCTGTAAATTTGAGTGTTGTCATGGGTTGTGTTCATGTGTCTGTATTGCCTCCCCACACTCCAGAAAATATTTCTGTGTTCCTGTGTTAGAAGCATAATATTTTGTCCTCTTCACTTTGAAGGTTAAATCTCAAGCAAGGAAAAAACCCAGATTGTTTAAATTTGAAATAAGGTCAAATTGTGATAATGTCATTACTGATACTGGTGACCATGCTCTGAACTCCAAACAGGTATGAAAATAATTTTTATGTTGTATATCTAAAGGTTAATCTCGTTTGTAGCAAGTCAGACCAGTTGGGATTTTTTTGTTTGTTTGTGTTTTTTGTTTGTTTTGTTGCTTGTATTTGGTGTTCTTTGTTTGTTTGTTTTTTCTTTTTCCTGAAGAAGTGTGGTTGACTGAAATTATAGCTGAAATATAGAGGGTATTGCTTCTCTTTTGTACTGACTAGTTGATCTTAAGGTCTTGGTGGTAATGATGCAGTACTATTGTTTGCTGCTTAAATTAAACCAAAGGGAGGGACAGGAATGAAAATGCAATTGGAAAAAAAAAATCTGTTTGGAAATTAAAGTGTGTTTTGTCTAACATTGCAGTGTTTTCAATGCAGCTTTCAAAACACTTTTTGCTCTTTTGTCTGAATCTTTTAAGCAAAGATTTCTTAATATAATCTTCCGCTTGGTTTTGATTTTACAAGAGTAATGCTTGATCTTAGGTGTTATGGTACTCTTGGCCTGTGGAGGAGACCACTTTCCTAGTACTTAATGCTAAAAGGGTGCAAAGTAAAATTGCACAAAACTTTTCGGAATCTGCCCATTTAACTGTGGATGATTTCTATTTAGAAGGAAAATGCTGCTTTCAGGCATGAGGAAAACTTAACAAAGGAAATACTTGAAATGATTTATTTTCTGGTTGTTGAATGGTTGAACTGAATGGGGGTATATGTGAGTGTATTAAGAGTTCCCTAGAAGAGGAGAGTTTTAGTTTCACTAAAACATCTAGGAATCTAAGTCTTAATATGTTGTACAAAACTAGTAAATGTGAGTTCGTAATCATTAGATAATTTCTTTTATTTTGTGGCAGATAGCAATTGATCCACCTGGAAAGAAAGCAGAATTTGTCTCTCATTTTTCTTTCTCTAAGGGAAGCATTCAAAGCAAACAAAATGTGGTTAGTAGTGTTATTTTGCTGACAGTTGTCAAGGAAAAGAGAGTTCTAATCTTAAACTACTTAAACTTTTCTGGTTTTGAATGCTTGGGTGGCAATGTTGATATTTGACCTGTCTATACATATGTTAATATATAAGGTAAGATTCATACCTCTCAGTCCACACTTGGAAATCTAACAGCTCCTACAATAGGAGAGGACATTAATGGTTTAATTACTGTTTATGGAAGAAAATCAAGGTACACAGTGCATACAGTAAAGTGTATGTGTATTTGGTTTACAGTTTTTCATGTCTATATGATTTTTTAAAATGAAAATCTCTGCTGTTGCTCTCTGTTTTGCAACCAGTTGGGATAAGATTTTCAGATTCAAATAAATATGAAAATGATTGGTCTTTTAGGGTTGTTCAGTTGCTTGGTGATGAATTGAAATGTTCTTGGTTTTTGTTTTTATTTTTATTTTTTTCATGTTTAAAAGAAGCCTTTAGTGGAACGGCACTCAGGAAATGAAATTAGTGGTGACCTTCATCCATTACCCCTTCCAGCACAAGGAGGTAATGAAGAAGAATTGTGCCTAGATCATGATGTTGTCAAAGTTAATTGTGAACAAGTAAGAATTTCTATTTTAAGATGCTGTCAGCATGTATTCTTAACTTTTCTTACAGGACTTTTCTAAAGTGATAAAGTTTTTAACATGGTAGCTGGATCCTCCTTAAATGTAAGTAATAGATATATGATAAATATATTGAAAAAGTTGAAAAATGTCAATTAAATTGTACTGTCCTTTCAAGAGCCAGTTCTGTCAAGTTTCTTTTAAAAGCTGAATTCCATAGGAACATTATGTCAATTGTGAAAGAAATCATTTTCTAATGTAGCAGAATCTGATTACTGACCTTGAGGGAAGGTTCCACTTGATTTCATTGATCCATTGATGAATTATGTCTGCTTTAAAATCAGAGGACACACTCTTGTCCATATTTTCAGATCATAGAAGATAATTCTCAGATTGAAGCCCTGAAGAGTCAGCTTGCTGATTGCCAGGAAAAGCTTCGTAAACTGGATTGTATGGAAGATAAACTGCATGTTTTAGAAGAGAAACTGGAAGGAAAGGTGATCATAGACGAGAAGGACTGGAATAACTTGTTGGGTCGAGTTTTGCTTCTTGAAACAGAACTGTTGTTGCAATCCAAAAAGGTATGTTAACTTCTATTTCTATAGCAAAAATGGCCCAGACACAATGTTGTTGGCTTGTTTCTGTTCTTGCTGCCTCCTATATATGCTTTTTTTGCTATTTTTAAAAGCATGATCTGAATGGAAGTGCTGTTTATGGAGCTGGAGGTATTTTTTCTTGATTGTTAAGTTTTTGCTGTTTTCTTATGCTTTGTGAAACAAAACTCTCCATTGAAAATTGTTTCCTTGCAGGAACAGCAGGTGCAGTGAAGCCTATTTTCAATAGTAATGACTCTGTGTTTTATCTCCTCGTGAACTTATAAAAGGAAGCTTTTGAAAAGACTTATGCTGTCTTTGAAAGCTTAATATTTCTATTGAGAGTTTTGTCATGCTAGTGATACATTTAAGGTTTTCCTTGTTCTGGTATGCATATTTCTCAATTTCTTATACTGTACTGCAAACATTGCTGTTGAATATAAATTTTTTTTTTTTAATTCTCCAAACTAATCAGATACAGATACTCTCTTTGGAAGAGTGTCTTCATTCTGTATAACTAATGTTGACAAAAATAGATGGCATGCTTAATGGAAAATACAAGGTTAATGGAAAAGTTCTTATTTTAGTCCTCTTCTTAGTTTGTGGCTCTTTTCTAGCCCAAACCTGATGGTTTTTCTCTTTTTTTTTTTTTTTTCACCCTCCTTTCTCCCCTTCCTATTCCTTGTCATGATATTCGTTGCATTTTTAAACGTGAAAGTGCTACAGTTGTGATGTGGCTACATTGGGCATATTTGTAAAAACAAATCAAGTATTTTGTTGCATTAAGGCTTTGTTGTTTCTCATGCTGTTGAAAGGCCCCTGTAGAATTGTAGAATCAACCAGTTTGGAAAACACCTGTAAGATCTAGAGGCTGGACTTTATGATCTTAAAGATTTTTTTTTTTCTTTTTTCCTTACAACCTAATTGATTCTATCTGCAAGTCTGTCACCAAGTCCTACCTTTACCTCAGAACTGCCAAGTCCACCACTAAACCATGTCACTGAGAGCGTCTACACAGATTTTGAACACTTTCAGGGACAGAGATTCTACCACTTCCCTGGGAAGCCCATTCTAGTACCTGGCCCCTCACCCTTTCATAATATCCAATCTAAACTTACCCTGGTGCAGCTTAAGGCCATTACCTCTTGTCCCATCACTTGTTAGGAGAAGAGACCAGTCACCTCCTCACTTCATCCTCCTTTCAGGTAGTTGTAGAGAGTGATAAAGTAGTTGTATGTGCATTATATAATTTTATGTATGTGCACATGTAGGTATTCTGAAATGCAGTGAACCATAGCATCAATTTTGTGATCACATGCTTAATTTCAAAGTGTATTTGCTTAAGTATCTTATGTTTATCCTTCAGATGCTGTCAGGTGCTTTCCAGCTGTTGAAAACCCTTGTAGAAAATACTTGATTAGCATTGCATTTGTCTCTGTAATGGTAAAAATTGTTCAATTTACTTGTAACTAGAAGCTCTGTGTGTGTTGCTGACTATGCAGATTTCAGTGTTGCTAATACATGTATGCAAGACATGTTTTCTTCTGTGTTCCTTGCAAGTGTGCTAGTTATGTAAAGTCTCAAAATGAAGAAGCATTCAGACTGGTCACTAGGTTATTTCTAAAGGCTCTACTCATACGATAAGGATTGACATTCTCAATCACCTATGTTTTAAACACAATTTGTTGGTAACAGCTAAAGTTATTTACAATTTAAAATCAATTTTGTATGGATATTGTAATTTAATTATCAATGGTTAGAAGTCCAAATAACACCACCAGTGATAATACTTTTGTCTCTCTGCAGTCTCAAAGGGCCTTCAGCTGATAGCTATAGTTTTGCTCTTGGATGGAAGTGTGTTCTCCAAGAGATACTTGTTGCTTTTATGAGGTAGGAGTACAGGAAAGTCTGTTTCAGACTAGGCTTGTTATTTTTTGTAAATTTGGTTTATTATTACTTCAGTAACAGTTTATTTCAGTTGTTCAAAGGTTTTGAATAACATTTGGAAAATATTTAGAAAATACTTAACTTTAATACGACTTTAAAAATTCCAACAAGATAATTGTATTTCTGTACTGCATGTTACTGAAAGAAGTCACTACTGAAAGAAGTCACTGCTGAAAGAATTTTGAATGTAATTTGTGTGGCATTGTTGCTTGTCCTTTTTTCAAAGCAAAATAAGCTGGCTTTTATATGTTTAAAAAAAAAAAAGTCTTCAAAACCTAACTTTTTTGCAATAGGCATTTGAAAACTGCCAAGAAATAATCCTTTGGCCGAGGGAATTGTTGCTTCTTTGTTTCATGAAATTCCATCCAAGTTGTGTTTCACATATAGAGAAACAATTCAGAATTACCCCTTTCTTCTTACTCTTGCATTTTTTTATTTTTTTATTTTTTCAGGGAATTTTTGGCATCTAGCCAGCATAGCAGGAACACTAAGATCTGTCTTGCATTGCTGCCAAAGTAGCTGCAGCTGTGCATTTAGCTAGGGGAAGGTCTGAAAGACCAAATCGATTTTGATGGAAAGAATTGAGCAGAAGTAGTCAGTGCAGATCTCTCAAATGTATCCATTATTACAGTCTTTTTCCCAGCTTCTTCTCATACAGTAGCTACTATTTCAACCCCATTCACTTATTTGGGTGTAATATTCCCCTATTAACTGATGTAGTTACTGCAGGATATAAAGTGATATACTTTACTGAAGGCTGAGATTTCAAATCATAATCATAACTCACTGGTGAAAAAAAAATCCAGATGTTGTGTGAGTGTTGGATTTTTTTTTAATTTTGAAATTAGAAAATTGCACTGCAGAACATTTTTTGTTAGTACGATTTTGCTTCCTTCACCAACCTTTTCTAAGCTAGATTGAGTTAAATTTGGAACCTTTCTTAAAAGAGCCCTCTCTCATTTAGGAGCCTGGGAGACTAGCCTAAAATGTACTTCTGAGTTCTAAACACTTACGTGGCATGAATTTCAGTTCATGTATAGGCTAATTTTTCTAGGACTGAGGAGCTGCATTTCTGAATATCAACTGAAAGTAGATGGTAAGCTTATTTTGTTAAGGTAACAGCAGACAATGTCAAGGTGTAATTGTTAGCACAGACCAAGAATGGTCTGATTGTGCATTCTGCTAATATCTAAGCTATTTCACTATATTTGGACTTGGTTTTGAGCTGTTTATTAACAGCAATAGTGTACTTTTCAAATGCAATGTATGTATGGAAATGTTGGATTTTTTTCAGTCCTGTAAAGACATCTGTGCAGTCCCAGCATATCTGGATGGTGTAGCAAATGCATACTTTAGTACTTAAGTTACTTAATTTTAGTACTTCAGTACTAAATTACAAAGTACTTAAATATACTTTTGTTTGGTCAAAAGATGATTTAAATAAAATGTATGGCTAAAATGTAGTAAATTTTTATTTCAGAGAGAGTTACTTACGGAGTTAAGCAATGTAAGTCAAGAAGGTTCTTCTGGTAGGATTCCAGGTTCCCCTGGTGAGTATTAATGATTATATTTTTAATTAACATCATATGCTAAACTTTTTGCTGACCTTAATTAAAAAAGTGTTTTTTTTTACGTAGACAATTGCAATTTAGTGACCACTGAATTTAAATGGATGCTGCAAACTAAAAGTTAACCTGTCAGTTGTTTCATGTTTGTAATTTGTTCTTTAGCAGCCGTGCTTACTGAAATAGTTTTTAAAGCATTATTGAAAACATACAGTAATTAATGGTTACAAATAACTATCAAAAATCATAAATATGCAAATTTAATTAAGGTGCTATAGTTAAAGCTGTGAAAAACAATGTTATCAGCACTTTAAAGGAGTTATAATAATGTTTTTAAGGTAAGCTGTTCATAAACATGAATGATATTTGCTGCCACAGCTTTGTTGTCATCATAAATGTGACACTATTTTGATTATGTTTTTTGCTTTTATAATGGCTCGGGACAAATCGGGGACATTTCATTTACAATCTGTGGTGTTTTCCAACTCATTGCTGAATATTCTCTATAGTTTCATCCCTTTTGAAAGAGTTAGCTATCCAAGTAGTATTTTTGTTGAACTCTTATTTTGAAGATCAAGACAAAATCTTTTCTTCCTTTCTAACTTTTTGCTAATGTAGTTTGCTAAGTAGTAAATGAAACAGCCTGAAGTGAGAAAGAAATTACTTATGGCCTGGGAAATGTTTTTAATTCTTCTGTCTGCCTCAGTGGTAGCTCTTTAGCCCTTACTCTGCATCATTCTCTTTATTAATTTGTCTTGTTTCCTTCATGGCAGCTGTTATGCCTACGAACAGTAGTAAGGAAGATATTCTGTTTCCCATTCTCGCTTGTTAGGTGTTTTTGTCCAGTGGTGGGCTGTTGCACTGAAACTAAAAGGGAATCTCAGTAATTCAGTTTTCATGGAAATTAGAAAGGCAGTTTCTTGGTTATGGCAAAATTCATTTTAATTTTCAAGTCTCGAAATAGGACCTTTTTACAGACCTTGGAAAGTTGCAACATCTTTACTTCCTTTGCTAACTTTAGTGATATGTTACTGACAGTTGAGGTCTTCGTAATCAGCAATCAGGCTGATGGTGTTTAAAAAAGAATTTTTGTATTTTCATACTTCTGGAGTTCTCTGAATTCCTATTATTTCTGCTTTTCTAAAATATGATTCAGGAAATTTTAGGCAAGGAGGTTACATGGCCAGTCTTAAGTCTTCTGAGTTGTACAGTACTTAAAATGCTTTCATGTTCTTTTTGGTTGTAGTATTCTTCAGGAGTAACAGTTGTGCTGAAAAAACAGTTTTTAATTTTAATAAATTAGAAGTAATATAATATTATTTTAAATACAGGATAATATAGCTAGGAAAGTTCTAAATGTATGATCCATAGATGGTGGCTCTACTAGAAGAAGAGCAAGGGATCACTTTTCTTCCAAATGCTAAAGTCTGTTCTCCAGCAATAGCATTCTAAAATTGCAAAGAGTATCAGAGTCTTCCCAATGTAAAAAGAGAAGTCTCTCTCTGCTAAATGGATGCTAAACTTATCCCAGCAGGAGGAGAGCTAGGGAAACAGCCAGACCTTCATACAGCTTTTAAGCAAGAAGGTGATATTATCTTTTTATTTCTGCTGCTTATAAGAAAGGTTACAAATTAATGACATGTTTGAACAGGCAGTTTACAATAAAAAGAACATAAACTATTTTAAGTTACTATTAAATGTTTGACCTAGTAATTACACTTTAAGTGTTGATTCTATGAGTCTATGATTTTTTTTGTAATCAGGATAAAGGTAGCATTCCTAGTAATCTTCTTGGAATTTGCCTTATGTGTGTTATATATACTATACAGCATTTATCTTATTTTAAGCAAACGAGAAACCTGTTTTAGTCTCTTACCACTAGCTTTTCTTTTTCCGTCTCTAAACAATGTAAATCTGTAAACTGTAAATCAAGCTTATTTGATAGCTGACCTTGCAATAAGAGAGCAAAAGGCAAAGGTGACCCAAAACCGTTTCTGCATAGGTACAGAGAGGAAGGAAGAGATGCCAGAGTGTCTTCATCAGCTGTCTGGATACAGTTCACTATTATCCACAGACCCATCTCCCAAAGCTGTGACCATTAAGTCTCATGATCTGACAGGCATTTCCAAGGTAAGTAAAACTGTCAAATGCTTAGTTGATTTCTTTTCCAAGATCAAGAGAACAAGTAAGCATTAGTTTTAGTTGTATATACTACTAGTGAAAAACAGGGAAACTGCAAAACTATATCTAGGTCTGTCTCATAAAAATCTTTTTGGTATGTTTTCTAATGTTTCTTTAGCAAGCAGGGCTTAAAGTCACATTTTCACTATGAATTTTTAGGTTGAAAGTCCATCTGAAGAATGTTAGCTTTGAAGAGTTGACTAACTTTGTTGCTTTTAAATTGCAGGAGACAACAAGACAAAGAATGGAAAGGATAAGTAAAATGTAAGTAATAGGAAAGGGCAGCAGGATTTCATTTCCCAGGAGGGAGTTGTACTGGACTGAGGCATATAGAGAATGTACATGTGTTCCAAACCTCAAAGGTCTCTGCATCAGGTGTGGCATTTCCTTACGACTCCACTGGATAATAAATCCACTTACAGTTCTGTATTTGCGGATGAGTCACTGTTTTGGTTTCTAAAAAGCAGTAGAAAACATTCTTAATAGTATTAACTAGAGATTAGAGATTAAAGGGTGTTTAGAATCTGGTTGACAAGGAATTGAAATATTATTTATCTTCTGATAGGAAATCCCAGGTACTTGCAACTTTTCTTTCATTACCTTAACTCTGTTTTTTTTATTTCAAGTAAAGTAAAACCAGTTTCAGCTTAAGCATGGTGATAACTCTAAGGTGTATTTGATACTAGTCCTGAGATCTGTAACAAATTTGGTTTTATAAGAAATATTTTCATTATACTTGCAGAGAAATGCATTGCTGTGTAATGTTTCTTTAGCAAGAGATTTTCTATTCTATAATGTCCTGGTCTCAAAAACACTGTAGCCTTTTTTGTGATTTAATTTTATTGTGTAGCTTACTTTATGTATAGTTAAGGTTTTATAGATACGTGATAGGCATTTAAAATACAAACCAATTGCAGAGGAAAAGTGGGGATGAGTGGAAACAAGGTTTCGTTACACTTGTTAATATATTGGGTACATTAGAATGCTAAAGGTAAGTCAGTTATTTCTTACCATATTTTAATAAGTGTGTGTAAACAAAATTTATTTTCAGAATTGAAGAAACCTCAGAATTGTTGAAAACATCAAACAATACCTCTGGGAAGACCTGAAAGCACAGGTCTTCAGACCTGGTCTCTGTGGACTTACGGATATCAGACCTAATATGTATGTTTGTACGGCATTGAATTTTTAATATATCAAATTTGTAATGATCACCAGTGCTTTATTTTTTTGAATAAATATTTGTCTAATGCATCTGTGTATTGATTTCCCTTCCTCCAGCCTCAGTTTTTGTTTTTAAAAACTGTTCAAATATCTACCCCTCCCTCTCTTGTAAAGTTAAGTCATTACAGCAGTGTATTTTTGTGTTGACATTTGTTAGCAGTGTGCTAAGTAATATGTTTTTTAAAGTTCAGGCTTGAGGACCGTGGTTTACATCCTGTTGGAAATGTTCCAGCTGGGACTTGCATATTACACCCAAGAGGCATTCTTGCATACCATCTTACAATCTGTACTGCTGAATAAGTCTTAATGAAAACCTAAATACACAATCTCAAATATGTACTTTTTTTTGCTGTTGTTTGGTTTTTTTTTTTGTTTGGTTGTTTGTTTTGCGTTTTAAATATAAATTTTCATGCAGAGCTCGAGTACTAGCACATTATGGCTTCCATTAACACTGACAAAGCGAGGGTCAGTTTGATCCTAAACACTAAAATATGCAAGTAAGTCCACAGACTTTGACTGCAGAGAGATGTGTTGAGTGTTTTAGTGCTCTTACCCAACACATTTTAAGACCAGCAGCACAGATGGAGACCATCCAGTGTACAAAGATACAAAACATTTTTATTATTTGGAGCTGTTTTAGAATTTCTTTTCAGAGATATAAGTAGATATAAGACTTGCATAAACATTATATAATCATACCAAAGGTGTGCAAAGTTTGGTAAGATTTAGTTACATATGTATTAGTCAATGTAAATTGGTAGCCTACCATATCAAGGTTTTTTTGCGCTATAATGCTCACTTCACTTAAAAGGATTTTTGGACTTTGATATCACAAAACCAGTGGATTTTTTTTCTTTGGCAGTTTGCAAATGAAGGCAAAAGCAGCTGTTTGACATTATGCTATAAAAAGTGATTTATATGTTTTAACAATAATTATGATTTTTTTTCTATAACCATATGGAATATAAATTAACTTTATTATGCCTACAAACAGAAGAACATACGGTGATCCATTATGTTATATAAACTTCAGTTGAGAATTTTGGGACTTTAGCAGTAGAACTTTTCCTGTTTAAAAAAAATAATTTGGAAAGTTACAGAGTAAGAACATATTATGCTCCTTAATTGAAAATCGACCTTGCAAATTGCTGTTCATCATCCTAACTATGAAACGAGTTTTTTTTTTTTAAGTGTTAGGCTAATTCATTGGAAATATGTGATATTTTTGAAAATAGGACTGTAGCACCATCTTGTGGAAATCTTCATGCAGAGAAATTGGCAAAGGAGGAAAAAAGTATATTCCTATATGGTTATTTCTTTTAAGTTATTGCTTTAAACCAGTAATGATCAAATATTTTAAAATATTACCTGCCTTTATTTTTACCTCTTTTCCTTGGAATCAAAGAGAATTTTATGTTAAGCAAGGTAATTGTATTGTATTATATTTGATAATGAACCAGAGAATAATTCTGTTGTTTGTCGATGTTATGGCAAAGATGAGAAGCGTTAGTTGATACAGATGATTCAAGTTAAAGGGATTTAACAGTGAATGCATATGGGTGATGCAGAAAGTGTTAAAAAAATAGTCTTTCTGTAAGTGTGCAATTTAATATAATCCCTCTTTAGTACTGCGAAATTGAATATCTGAAGTTGTTCAGCTATTTTATTCTTCCAGAAGCTTAAATGTAGTACCCCACAATGGGATTTAGCCTTTGTAATTAATGGCTTTGCTTCTGTTTTCAAGACCAAACAGGAGTTCACTTTGATCCAACTGAAGCCAAGGGTTTCTTACTGTTAGGGCAGTTGCTGGTTTTCTAAACGTTATTCCCTGACATTTGCTTTCTTTTTTAAAATTAAATTTGGTTGTGGAAGGTAGTACCATCTTTTGAAGAAGAAATATTCATAATGCATTCAAACCTTCTTTGTATGTTTGAGTTATATATATAAATATTTAATTATTCAGTTTTATCATTGGAAACAGTTAGTACTTGTAATGATATATGTCACAGTAAAACTTCACCAAAGTTGGGAAATACATGACAACACTGAAAATAGCAACAGTATTTTAATAACTACTTATGCAATGCTACTTTGAGCATTGTCACAACAGTCAAAGAGTTGATATTCTATATGTGCATGGGTGGATCTGGCTGAATAACAGGCAAGTGTTAGATACCTTCAGAAACACAAATTACATAAATGCAGAGAATATTCCTCACTACAGTTTCTACCATGTATAGCTTTCTCCAGTGACTTGGAAAAATTCCTGTTGTTCAAGATGTATGTTCTATGATTTTAAATCATTAATTGAATTACCATGGTTTCTTAAAGTTACTGAATTTAGTTATTAGTTTAAAAATCTTTAATTTTGCAGTGAAAAATTGTTTAGACAACTTTCATTTAACATCAATAGGATAATTACTCTTTATATTACTGAAAGTATTTCTGTATTATGTGGGATAATGAAGCATTATTGCATTAAAGTAGAATGCTAAAACTGAAGCTTCTATGACTATATACTTATTTTTTAATAGCAAGATTCTAAATCTAATAAAACAGGATTCTCATATAGATATATTTTTTTTCCTTCTGCTTTATGTAATGTCAGTATGTACTTTAATTTGTTTACTGGAATTACAACATGCTGTAGAAAGCATAATCTTCTCACCCCAAATCTGTAGTATTGAAGCAGGCTGATAACCTTTCAGTTATGTTTTCAGTTTGTGTATATACTGCCTTGTGTTGTGGAATTCTAGTGCTCGGTCGTAAATACTAAGAAAATTATTGCAATTATAAATAAGAATATATTCTTTATGATGTTACTTTTGGTGTTTTAAGATCTGATACTTAAATTGTATTGTAGATCGCTCAAGTCTTGTTTTACGTAAATATGAGATAGGCTAAGTTCAGTTATGTCCTGGTGTTTATGCCTAACTTGGAATTTGTTGGCATCATCAAAAGTGTAGCCAAAGCTCAAAGCCTTAATTACTAAGTGTGTTTTATTTCCTTATATCTGATTTTCTTATGCTTATTCTTGGAGTTCTTGTATGTGTTTCTACCCTGCTTTAGCCCTGTATCTCATGTCAGGTTGAATTCAGTTTCTAGTTCAGTAGCAATGGTGCAGAAGAAACCTGGCCTGAAAATGTTTTACTTTCTTTTAAATTTGCCTGATACAGAGTACTTATTGTCTTGAAATCAGGTCCTCTTACGGAATTTGCAAAACTGACATCTAGACTTTGTGGAGAGGGAGGTTACTTGTTTTTCCTTCACTGTCAGTCTGTCAGTGATTAGTAGAACCAACTTCTTTGAACTATAATATAAAAATGATTTTGTTGCCCTTTTTTTTTTTCCTGGTGATGTGATATATTTATTATAGAGTTTCAACGAAATACACCAATGTGAAAAATGTTGCATCTGTGTTTTTTTTTTTTTTAGCTTTAGCTGCTGGTAGCATGTCGTGTTGTGACTTCAGTTTATATATATCCCAGGAGGCAGTTTTCTCCCTGTGGAAGATCCAGTAGGTGATAGTTCTTTCAAATGAGCTATATTTTATAATTCCTTAAACTAGAGTATGGGTTGAGTTGTGGAGATAGGTGTCTGGTGCCCATATGACTTCACAGCAAATTTTATGTGTTGCTGAAGTTGCTATTATAGCCTGTGGTTAGAGTCAAGCCTATAAACCTACTGCTGATACTAAGCCAAATTTTTTTCCTAATGGCTGTTTTGCTGTTCTCCCTTCCTTTGCACACTGGCTTTTTTGTTTCATCTATTGTGTCTATTTTTATTTTGTTATAGTAGTGAAGAGCTAACATTAAGGATGGACACACTGGAGTTTGAGAAGTTCATTCTTGTCTTGTGTAAGTTAGCTTTTCTGGAAAAAGAGAAAAGTAAGCTTATAAAAATAGATGAGAAACTGCTCATATTTGTGGAATTTACTTAGTTTCTCTTTTTTGGAAATGCTTAACATTCTTTAATAATCATTGGTGAGCAGGGATTAAAACAGATTTTTCTGTCAGCTGCTTGTTTTGACATTGAAGTTAGCCATCACTTTGAACACTTGTAGTTGTAACATATTCCACCTTAAAATTATTTATTTGGCATTACATTTATCTTTCCAAGCACTTTATACTACCTGTAATTCCTCTTTGATTTCTTTCCAGGATTTTTTTTTTTTTTTTTTTTATATCTCTGTGGTGACAAGTCTCAGTTGTTCACTTGTAATCCTCAGGCAGCAAAAAAATGCTTCTTCAGAAAGGTATTAAATCTGCAAAAATTATTTAATGATAGTATGTTGCTTCTGTGTTGTTTAGGCAGATTTCTGTGTGATAGAGGTCTGTGTTGTGTTCTGTGTAGGATACTTGTGATGATGCAGTCCATCAGCTGTGTTTTGAGTAGCTGATATAAGGATAGTGGTTAAACCACTTCTGAATTGAGTTCCAAATGTGGAGAAGTCATCACACTAAAACAGCTATATTCCTTCCCTCAAGCATCTTGCAGTTTATTTCATGAGGTGTAGTAAGCTTAGTAGCTCTCTTTATGCAGTGTGACTGGTTACAAAACTCATCCTGCGTACTCTGTCCAGAGCTGATTTGGAAGTAGTAATACTTTTTACTATCTGGGGGAAAACTGCTCTACTTATAGGTGCATAACAGGAAGCAGTAGTGTGGAGCACTGGTGTTAAATACAGCTATGTGTGTTGGTTTTCCCTACCCTTTATCTTTCCAGTTATTGTAAAGGAAGCTTCATGTGCCATAAAGCAAAGTAACTTCTGATGACAGCAGCAGATACTTCATTTTGCCAATGTTAGGTTTATAATTATTCATTTTTAGCATAAGCTATATCAAAGAATATTATGCCTCAGGGTATTTTAATCAAAGATACTGCTATATTTCAAAAACATACTGCAAGGTTCTCATAAGCTTTCACACTTCTATGTCAGTTCTCATCTTATCTGGTGTTGCTGCATTTCATTGAGTGCAAGTTGAAATATGAACTGGGATTAAGAGAACT